CCTGAATCTGGTATCATATTCGATTCCTAGTTCCATCATTTCAAATACATATTCCATGTCGACTGCTGAGATTTCGATGATGCAACTAAAGTTTGTCTACTTCTGAGAAGACTTGGAGCACATGGAAATAATAAATATGTGGATTTTATCCTGCCACAAAATCCTTGGGATTTGTTTTATGATACAATCCAAATATTATCTAAAATCAACTGGCTGAAAGTTGCTACTTCTTGAATCGTTTTACTATATAAGAACATTCGATTAATAAGTTTTTATTAATAGGATGCACTGTAAAATGAATAATAACGGTATATCGAATCATTTAACACAAAAATAGTGATACTTTTAACCGTAAATACGTCATATAGATTTCTTAACTTTATATATAAAAAGTACTATAACGTGAATGTAGATGCAAATTGCAACACGTGACGAAGAACAGACTAAATGCATAGTCTTATTCAGAAACAATAAAAGACTCAAATCAAGACGTGGCATCAATTCCTAAAGTCAGTGATAGCTTAACTGAGTCGTGTAATTAGGTGCAGACTACTAGGTTGGGATGTACACGAGTATCATAACTATTGGTCATGTTTCAGAGACATTCGCAATGGCACATGTACATGCACTCTTTGTCTACCCTTAAATCAAATGTTTCTTACTCATCAGAAAAAATTTCTTAATTCCACGAATCCACATTGTCAAATTATATATTGCATGTTTACTCTACTATAACCATTAATACTGTTATTACATATGCTACTCTGGTATCTCGTTATATTGTAGACTGGCAAATCGAAACGATACATACATGTCTCAAGTTTTATTTTGTGTTTATTTAACTGACTGAATTAAAAACGTAAATAAAGAATAATATATCATACGAATTAGTTATTATGAAGTACATGTAAGATAAACAAAGTAAGTAGATTAAGTAAATAAATAAACATATACATATTGATTTGGATTTATTAGTGAACAAAGGCAAAGGATGAATATACCAATCGATAAGTGATATATTGATTAATTATTGAACGATATGCACAACCAATTTAATATAAATTAGCATAAAAATGAATGAGTAAATATTCACTATGTCTTTCATTTAGATCATGTGACCGTTAAATATTTATACAGAAATCAAGTTGAGTAAACAAGTAGTTTCTCAAACTCCAATAATGTTTTTTTTAATATCTTGGGGTTTAACTTTTTAAAATAGGCGGTAGCAGGATAATTCAGTACAAACTTTTCTACGTGAAGTATTAACACAAATCAATTCAGAAAGGAATTACGAAGATGACAAAACTATGAAGTATTGTTTTCAAGAATAGCAAATAACCTACTAGCGCATAACACGGTTAGTCATGCTATATTAAAATTATCATGAATAACTGATAACATACCACTGAATCCAACGGTCATTGGGAGAGAGAAAGGGAAGAGTTCCGAATTTCGATAATTGAGAAGATCCTAGGTTTCGAAATTTTGAACATATTCAGAGAACATGTGATATCAAACCCCTACAGTAATCACTGGACTACTCAATTTTGTTAATAATGTTAAAGCCTTACTAGTAGCGGTAACCGTGTTCATTTTTCTAATTACATTTTTCACGTAACTTTAGGCTTCTTCTGATTGGCCTTCACTGGTTTTACTTCGTTAATTTTCTGTGTGCCTCAAGGTCATGGTTAAATTACTACGTATATGTAGAGTAACACTATTGCAAATTATCCAGCTCGAATATTACGTTTTTCCTGTACTATATCGTTCGCAAATGTTAGGGGCTAATTGTCAAGGTGTTGTGTGTCAACTTTCGTTATGAAATCTGCAGCAATAGAACCATTCCTATTTAAATAGCTCAATCGTCCCGTGATTCGCAAACATAGAAGGGCGACTGGCAGTTCTAGTACGTAAGACAAACAATAACCAACTGTATATCATAAAATTGTGTAGTGCCATTCTGCGCTGAAGTGTTAAGTAAACTAAAGACAATTCAGGGAAGAAAATTTTGTTTTCAAAGGTATCAATTATCCAAGCTGTACAATCTCATTCAGTTGAAATAATCTAATGAAAATAGAACGACTACATCATATCATTTGTCAAGGAAAATTGGGCAATAATCGAGGATTGAAGAGCGATAATAAGATGAAATCAAGTGTATTAAAGATAAGTGTCCACTTGACGAGTTAAAATTGAGAAGATTAAGAACATTAGAAAGATGTATTAACAATCAAATAAAAGTTAATGACAATTAAGTGTCAAGACAACAGAGGAATGACGGTTTATTATTATTATTCACGTCCTATACCGGCCTTTAGGACATATCCTTATGTACTATCAAAAGGAATTACTCACACAATATACCTTCGAATATCCAGTATGGATTTAATTACGAAGTCTACAGACAAAATGATTGCATCGCTACGGATTCAGTCAGTCAGTCACAACGTAGAACTTCGTACGTACGTACATCAGTTCGAGTTGCCGTACCACAATAGCACACTGATGCAGTTGTCGATTCAAATCCCATAGTGGTAGAAGTAGTAAGAGTATAGGTCGTAATCCGAAAGATTAGGGTTTGAAGATGCTATTCAAGGAGTATAATCCAGTGAAACAAATTTGAAAAGAGAAAAAAGATAGAGACATGAAGAATTCAGAAGATTAGAATTTGGTAGAACACAAAGAGTGGATACACCTTCGCCAATGACATGGCTCAAAATCGTTTGCATTAAACGATTTTGAGCCATGTCATTCAAGGTCTATAACTATCGATTGCTATGATCTCGCGAATCCCAACCAGGTAGTTCACACCTACCAACATGGCTCAGTCCACTTGTCAGTGACTTCATGGATTTGTGCCATGTTTTGGTCTGGCCACCCCTAGCTTTCTTCCAACCTACTCCTACACCAAAAAACATCGCAAGTCGCGGCAGTCGGTGGTTGGGCACACGCAACACGTGTCCCAGCCATCTCAAATGATGAAGTTTCACTACTTCATCAATTGATTTGCCATCCTTACCTAGTATCCGTTTCCTAACAACCGCATTACTTACTCGGTGAACCCAGGATATACGAGCAATACTTCGAAGACACCTATAATCGAATACTAGCAGCCTAAGAATATCCTCTACTCTCATCGGCCATGTTTCACTGCCATATCGCTACGGATTAACCACTCAACTCTTTTCTAGCGGATTGCTTTATGACCAATTTTGAGAACATGGTACTTAAAACGAAGATTGAAAACTTTCGCTTAAATAAAATGTATTTGGATGACACTTGATTATTTGTGATGAAAACAATGACCTCAATGTCATCCTGGATAAGTTCACTGGTTGGCATCAATTCATCAGATTTAATTGCAATCAGAATTGAATTCCAAATCACAGTTCCACGATATCTTATGAAATAGAACACCAAACGGTATATTACAAAGGTTTATGTATTGAAAATGAACTTGGAATGGGCAATATACGAATTTTCAAAGCTTATTAATTTATTTAGACACATATGCGTAGGTAAAAGGAGGCACCAAATATCTATGCGTCACACTTCGCCATTCTGTTTACGTGAGGACTGTAACCCATTAAACCAAGAGAGAAACTTAATTCAGTCATTATCAGAAAAGGCCAGACGAATAGACTCAGAAGAAACGATAGACGAGGAAATATCAAACCTACGACAGATATACCTCGAAAACGGTTGTCCATCCACGTTTGTTGAGCGAAACAAGAAACCAGAATTACAATCTTCAAGAACTCACACAGTCCCTAAGATAAACCTTCACGAATATTGTATTCAAGTTCAATGGAGGTACTACTGTAGAGGTTTTGAAGAATCATCCAACGAAACCTTTGATAGAAACTTTTCTATGCTGGCTAGCTTCATACTGCCCTTTCTAATCGTCTCATTATTCGTGGATAAGTCAAGGACAAAGTCTCGCATAGGACCACATTAATGTTTATTTATAAGTTTAACTGTTCTTGTGGAGCAGGTTACATTGACCACACAAGGCAAGCGGATTTCGAATGCATCGCCGAACATTTTCTTCACTGAATTGTTTTTAATTCTTTTCCGATGGCAACACGAGTCGTTTTCATTGTTTGTCGGATAAACGTTTAACATACGTGGGCAAATGATGCTGAACAGAGTAAAACTATTGCTAACTTAATTAGTCAGAGTTAGGTATTTTAATTATTGAGTAAAACTGCTCTCAGTATTGTGGAATGCGAACTCACTTGAGCGACTTCATTTCTAAATATTGCTTCCAGCACATAAAGATTTCAAAAAATACTTTTTTTCCAACAAACGTCTCTTCACTACAACAGAAAATTATTGCTAGCACAACGGTGGGAACAATTACGAGGGTGATTTAAAGACGGAAGGATAATAAATACCCTACAAGAGATATATAAACTGAAGCAATCCTAACAGAACAAATGTTGGATACAGATTTGTGATTTGACATCGATTTTGAAGAGAAAGTTAGTATCAATATACAGAAGTATATTTCGTTGAATTTGTGAATAAGGTTATCATGTCAATGAAGATAAATTGAAACAATAGCTCTGTATTTTTTTTCAAAATTTTCTTACCATTTGGCAACGAGTCATTTTAGCATGTGCCAAATGAAAAAGTTGCCAAACTACTAAGTCATTGTAAAAATGAAGACTTGACAGTTTAAAAGTCAGACAAAACTGAACAATACCATCGGAGACTGAAAAGAATTACCCCATCTATAGTGACAACAATCTAAATCTAAAGCCCTACGTGGCCTAAGCATCTGATCTCAAACTAAAAAGAAACATAAATTTAAAGTAAACATGGCTAATTTATTTTAAACTCTCATGCTATTAGTTGGGTTTTTTCTACATGGTAATCGCTTTCCATTTGTGTAAACATGAGCATATTTCTTTGTTAAATATTTGAATAATAAAAAAACGTCGCACAAAATGGATGTTTTTATTTGTACAATCAACCAATCAATTATGTACACTCACCTTATCACTACACTGTTGCAAAACATCGGTCAATTTAGATACAACCATGTCAACGCATTTTAATGATGGAATTCGAAGTTTTTCAATCTGTTTTCGTACTGTAGCATCAAATGCCATATCAGGTGTAAACAATCCAGGCCTTAATTACATATATTGTCAAACAAACAATTAAGCACAAGTTACTGAATTGGCAACATAATAACAAGACCAATACTAATACCAATAAGGGTGGTAATAATATTAATCGTAATAATGATAACTGAATAGCAAAAATAATTATAATTATCATAGTTTATCTGTTTCAAATATCAATAAATTTAACCCATCTCTATACAGAACATATATTTTTATGTTGGATGAATGTTTACCACAATGTAGATAAACTAGCATACGACAATTCGCATTACGTTCATATATAAAAGTATGAAGGTAACTTCACCTTTTGAATCAATTCTATGTTCAATATCAAACACAACAACCTGTCTAATACCTCAATTCCATTCAGGTTGAATTCGCATTCAACAATGAACGATGAATTACTTTAAACAGCTAACAGTGATAATTTAATTTTGCATCATTCAACATTTAACTTAGTTGGACTGTGACTAGAACATTTTAAGACTAGACTGTGGACATGAATGAATGACTAAGTATTACTGAATATTGAACTTGTCATTTCTAATTATGATGTTCTATGAAATATGACTGAATCAGATTAGATGTACCCATCATGTGATAGTTTTCGTTAAGATTTCATTAGATAATCAGTATTGTCAATTAAGTTCAAATAATTTTTCAAAACCTTTATCTATTACTTCATCCAAGATGGCGAATCATGGTGGCGGTAGCATGGTATTTGTTGAGAATGGTCTAATCGATGTTGAGCACACTTTTCCATTATTAGCAGTGAAAATAGTATTAAAAGCAGGTCTTTAGGATAAGCTGAATTACACTATTCTCTCAAATTTGATTAATCGAGTAAAATCAATTTTCAATATAGCCATAGATAAAATTCAAATGATCCATTTCTACACAGTTCTCATTATATTTATACTGTAATATTTATGATTATAAAAGATTAATCAAACCTGAGAGCTTATCTAAGAAAATTACGTAATAAGTACAAACTGGTTTAGTTTTGCAAGTTATATATATATATATATATATATATATATATCATTTATATATATCATGATTGAAAGTAGTGGAAATACAATAACATATTTTACACTGAATTAATTTGAAATAACGCAATATGAAAAACCATATTGAATTGGCATCATCTTGCGTTTTATCTCGTCCAAATAGATTTCACAACTAATCCAGGTACGAACGTCCCTACTAGTACATGGTCAGAGATCAGTTGAACAAACCGGGTGACTCGAATATAAGATTATGCGTAGACAATGAAGCTTACAATGATAATTTGTGACGAACAACAAAAAAATAATCTCCATCATTTCAAAACAATACTGTGAATTACTTTGTGAAATAGATGTATTTGTTACCAGAGAGTTTAAAGTGAACAGTGGAATATGGAGAACGAATTTGATGACGCTTCTGTATTCTATTAGACAGGTTGTACCAAACTTTTACAATCCAGATGGATACCTCTTGAGGGTGAGTAAGTTAGTGTTACTGATGTTCTTCAAAACAACAATTAGGACTTCAAAATTAAAATAGATTAGGCTCAGAGAATGTATCACCGTAAATTACTATTTTAATCATTACATTATTGAATACGAAATCATCAATCGATGGTCATTAGTAAACTCATATGTAAAGACCACTTACTTAATGCTCAAATGCACTTAAATAATTTCACGTACATTTACTAGCAATCATTAAAATAACAGGTAAAATCCATACAGTGAAATTCAGTTTATAAATGGACAAAAATCTTAAAATATTATTACCTATGTAATCCTCTAAGAAATTAAAGATGATTTTTTACCTGACACCATGAATATTTTGAATAGCAACAGCAATTTCTTTACGCAGAGTTTTTTCATCAAATTCAATCTTTGAATAAAAAGTGATACAATAATAACCGTAGTATTGTTAATAAACATATATGAAAAGATAAATTTCACACACAGATTTGTACGTATAAGAGGTAATGTTCATCTATTGTTTATGAGGATTCCTATAGATTAGAAGTTTACTAGTTAATAAAAATAATTGATGAATCTAAACATGAACGCTGGTCACTGATTTTTTAATCCCTTATCAGTGCCACAGGACTCTACACTTGAGCTCTGAACGGAAGCAGAAGGTGAGAAATACAGAAGGAGTCTTAGTTTTGACATCAGTTTACGTACAAAACACAAGAGTATTTTTGAGTTTATGGGTAATCTTGATATTCTGGAAGGATGCAACAAAATAGATAACTATTCAATCACAGTATGGCACATAATCAGTCGTTATTCAAGAAATCTCTGGAAGTCTCTATTTAGCCCTAATTAGATGAAGTGTTTCCCCCTCCTTCTCTCACCTTCCGAAGGTTCTTAGAGGAACTATCAGGGGCTCCCAACAATTATATAAAACACTGAATTGTTGACTGTTTAAATAAACTTATCGATTCGTACAGTAAGAGAGGATAGTTTACCCCTTGAATGAAAAAATCTCGATGTATGAATTATTTGATGTAGATTTATTTTAGCGATGATTCTGGTGATATTTCAGACAGCTGTCTCGGTACACTAGAGGCTTTTTTAAAATTTTAATGAAATTTTCTATACGACATACAGTAATTAATCTAGTTCATACTAGATTACAGCTATTGATCATTGTTGGTTTTTTTTTTACCAATTTTTGACAAATCGCTATGAATCAAATGTGGATTTCGTAATGGAGTATTAGGGAAAGATAGTTCGGCAATTTATGGAAGTCTATGTTTAACCTATATTCGTTTTGTGGAATCTCGCTATAGTTGATTAGTGACGACATCGGTTATCGGTTTTAAAACTTTTTAGCTCCATATCTAAACTATTCCATGAATCTGAAATTCATTATTTGTCATCATCAAACCACAAGGAAACTGAGAACTGGAGGATACACTAAATAATTAGTTCAAATATACCATTTAGAATTGAACTGGTGAAGGAGAATCTCTTAATAAAATTTTAAGAAATGAATTGGACTCATCAAAAGGAACACCTGTTCTGGAGGTTCAGAATCGTGGATTTGAGTACCACAGTGAGAAGAAAATTGAATCTATTAAGACGTTTTACACTAGATAACTTATGCAAAAAGTATCGATTGATGCTAGATCATATACTTGAAAATAAGAATTTACATCTGAATATTAAACTAATTAGCCTCACTTCATTTCACTACGTTCACATGAGTTGAAGATTATGAACACTTATATGTGTGAAAAATTAAGTTTAAATTATGAAATAAAAATATGTTTCGCAGAAACAAAGTGAACCGATTCAGAATTATTAGGTTGTATTCACCATAGATTGATCTCAGTTGAGGTATCACAGAAGACCGGAGAGGAATAAACAGATATTTCGTCGTACTATGAGACTCCTTAGTAGTGCGTAACCCACGACCACCTTAAGGATCGGACCCAGGACTTCTAGGTCTTGTAGAGAATACTTAACCATTAGAACCACTGAGTCAGTGTCCGAGTGCACAATTCCACCTTTAATCAACTGGGAATAAAGCGCTACGATCAATTGATGACAGTGGTGAAAACGTTTTATGAATCGGAGTTATTCCAAGTCCCTATACTACTTCAGCACAACAACAGGGAATCAACAAGATGGCAGAGTGAAGAGGTATACATAAAGTATCGGAACTCAAGACCCAGAGTAAGATAAAGAGTGAATGCATCTGAACTACTGAAACTGAATCTGAGATACCCAAACCTACATTTTTAGCCAATGATTGCGATCATCAAACGGATCATTCTTGATGGATAACAAGCGAATTTCAAGAGTAATAGACTAATCGTACGTGTGCATCTCATAAAAAATACTTGTGGTACAAATCGATTAGCAAATCCACTCATCAGATTCAGTGAAACTCCAAAAACTATTCATGTCTGCGTTCAAATTTACTTGATATTCATAAAAATGGATATTTTAATATTTTATTGAGATATATTTTGTAAACTAATTTGGCGTTAGGTTTCTTCTAGAAAAGCCACAGTAGACCAAGGTTTATACTGAATGATACTTAAAAATGGGACCTCATCAGGTAATAATCTTTATTTAAAATTGCTTAACCCAGTAACTAAACTGCTTTTCTTGATCAATAGACATTAAGTGATAAATTCTGTTTAAAACTAATCACTAACATATGAATGATTTATATGCACATACCAATTTGCAAAACGAGTGGAACATGTGCATAATGCACTTCAATCTATTGTATGCTATTTGAAATACATTAAATTCATCATACAATTTATCTTACCTTGAGTAAATCATATCTAAAACGTTCATGAAACACGCGATTAATCTCAGCGCCTCCAGACAGTATTTGTGTATTAACGTCGGCTACATGCCCACTAATATTTTGGGAAAATTCCGCTTCAAATGACTGAACCATCCTGAAAAGATAAAGTAATGAAAAGTATAGAGCAGAGCTAGTGAATAGTTTAAACACCTGATTTTTAAATATTGCAAGATTTTTATTTTCACTTTAAGTGCAACAATTTTGGAGTTAAGTGAGGTTCATTATGTGGTTTGAAATTAATTATTCCGATCTCCACTTAGTTACTTAAGTTGCAATACCACTTGAAAGTTTTCGGTAACTCATTTACCAGATACGCATTTATGTACTTGATTTTGAATTGCACTCCAAGTGTCAGAATCGGTGATAGAATCCTGATAGAAACATTAGAGTTTGAACTTATGAATTAGTAGCTGGGGTTTGAATTCCATAACCAATGACCCAATTCACCTTTTCGAAATTAAGTTCTGAATACTCATTACGGTAGTATCTCACAACAACAAAAGAATCCGATGGGTTCAATTCGTTTACTAACAAACTTTTTAGTCTGACCATTCTACCAATATTTTTTCTGAACGTTTTCACCATGATTCGTTAGACTTTAGATGTTGTATAGTAGGGAAGACTGAGAATGTAAAACGTACTTTTAAGCAAGAAAAAAGTAGTCGATTACTAACTAAAGGTGGGGCCGAAAAATGCATTTAGATAATGGACTCATTTTTGTTAGTACTGCTGATGGTAGTATGAAATAGGAATCGAGTCCCAGATGACTTTTGAATTTCAATTTGAGGACATCAAAGCGGGAAAATATATCACTACAGAAAACAATTAATTCTCGTCAGGTATTGATTCAGTAATTTTCTTGTAAGTACCCATCGATGGTGTAGCTTGAACGATGTTAGGTAAATGAGAAATGAACAAGAAAAGGCCTGGAAATGAGGGGAAACTTGTGGAAGCTGTCTACACTCACTACACAATATTGATAAAATGTTTACAGTAAGCTTATTAGGAAGGAGAAAAATACATAATTCGGTAATTTAGTAACATTTATTAGTTAAAGAAGTTAGTCTATTGACTTTGTAAATTATATACTGACATCAAATTACTGATTAATTAATGTTAACTAATCCCAGTTCAATGCATTCAAATTTTATTTAATGATCGGAAACTTAAAATGATGTATGACAGTACATTTTGATCATTATGAATCAGTGATTGGTACATAAATAAATCTTCATTTACTGTTTCGATTATTCTTAAGTTGAGCCAAATCATTCCTGTTCTGTTGAGCAAGTGGTAAATAACAGTTTATAACGCAGTCATAACAAATAGACACACAAGCAGAAATTTTAGCATTTTTAAGGTCGTTACAAACAGACTTGGTTGTTTATATAAACTATCTCTCTTATTTTACTAACTACAGTTTAATTCCTAGCGATTAAACTTAGTCATTAAATTGGTTAAAGAAAGATGAGGTGTAGTGCTTTCTTTCCAATTGAAATCTAGCCTGCATCACGTCATAAGTTAGAATGAACAAGATGTTATTTAGGTTTCGGCTAGGAGGTTGAAGAAACTGTTCAGCCTAAATAAAAAATAACTGGACAAATCTAACTAGGACAATAGTTTGATCAGCAGACAAATAACAAAAATTTTACATAATTATAAAGTTTAATTATAAATTATTAACTTATTTTACACAAAAATAAGAAAAAAGAACTAATCACTGTAGCAATGCTTTTGTTTTGTAAGCTGGATCATCTGGACGATAATTACGAAAGTCAGAAACTTCTTTTTCCAAACTAATTAGTTGGGTTTGTAACCGATTACGTAGATGCGGCAGAGTATCACGGATATGATTCGTTAGTTGTTGATTAAGTATACGTTGGAGATAAGGAGTTCCCATACGATCAGCCATATGACGATAACTGGGATGTGAAAGGAAAAATCTACGTTCGGCTTCCAAAGCAGCAGTGATATCTTTGCGTCCATCTATATCTCGCTGGCTTCTGTTGACAACGCCTATATAACCTACACAAGTAAAAAAAATTGGGTATGAAAGCTTAAAGAAGAGAATTACAACATAACAACTTGAACAAACGCCTGATAGTATGAGAGAGTAAAATGTAAAAACAAAAAACGGGCAAAAGGCAAACCACTAGCCCTGAAATGATAACAATAAGTATCATAAAGGCTGATAGGATTTCTACATAGTAATAAATATGAACAGTGATTTGTGAAGCTTATTTAAAATAAAAAGCTATGACCAAGAATAATAGATATGTATTCAGTATTTTATGATTAAACCTGAATCTTAAAAATCTGAAAGACAATCTACAACTGAATCAAAGTAAAACAATGAGCGATCTGTTTGGAATAGAACTCTGATGATTGACGTGCCCGTTCCAGTTTCATAACTTCTGCTGGAGTGTTGAGAAGTAATCAAGAAGATAAATGTCATTACACGTTGCCAGAGAACAACATACTAAGAGTGGAATAAGCAGATATGGGATACACCCACGTGTTTCAGAAGGGAACAATAATGAGATGCCCATTTATTTCTAACATAAAATCTTCAGTGAATTATGGAGCTGAAGATGTTTGACATGGTGAAATGATAGTTTTCTGAAGAAATAGAAGGGGGAAGAAGCTTATGATCAATGAATCGATCAACATACGTGTTATTTTCTGAGAGACACTACGTGATTAAAAAACAACCTCGAAATTTCATTACGTTGAAAGATCTCGTCATGCACTGCTTTGCAGCAGAGTCGCGCCATAGGATTTTAATTTGAGTGATGGGCCAACAAATCCTAGTTCAATACAACTACTTTATGTTTCAAGAACCTACGCTATCAATTGACCGACCAGAAACTGTTTTGTACAAGAACGTTAAATATTAGTTTTTTGTTTTTGATATCATTGGTTTACTACACGAGTAATATATGAAATCTGACTATCAAGTTACCAGAAAAATTCATGTGTATAGAATCAAGTCGAACAAAAAATATGTTTAGAGGACCTATTAAGCATTGAATAATTGTACAGATTAACTCACTAATACTACTGAATATGTGTAAACTTCCTCAGATTGGTATATTTGGACAGTTGCTAAGTTTTAAATCAACCGAAGTTTTTGGAATAACGAGTAGTAGATTATTCGATGAGACACAGGTTAGGAAATAACTTATGACCTAAGGCAAACGTGCATTCACTGCACATTACCATTAGCGGGCGGAGATCAGGAGAAGCGACACCGAAGAAACAAAATATCCACAACGACAGGATTTAAGTTAACATGTACAGTATAATGAAATGTTCACTGATTAGTAAAAATATAGATTGGATGTATTCATACTGGTGCAATTGATTTCAAGCTACATTTTATCTCCATGATATCGACACAAAGAACTTCGGACCATTAACTGAGTGTTGTGAACATTTGATTTTAATCACTGACTATCAGGTTTAAATACTTCTCAACCTAGTCACCGGCAAAAAGTAACCTGGTGTCGTTGAGAAAATCTGAGATTGATGGAACGAGAGTCATTAACCTCTAAAGGCGTCTTGAACACCGATCAGAAAACTTCGAGGAACAGTCAAACTCATGAAATACAGACTCGCGAAATAGGAATCGTTTGCGAAATGACGGTGTGGCCGAGAAGTTCGTTAGGAACTTGAAGCCTCTCAGCGAAAACATCTTAGGCAGAGTGAGAATACACAACCAACTTTCTAATATTCTAGTCTAACAAGGGGGTTGGAGAGGGCTACCCGATTTTACTATTTGTCCAACTCATCATTGGTTTAGCACAGGGACAAGGTCATAGAAGTCAGCATTTTGATCGGCAATTTTTGTCACGTGGTATCTGGCGGGGATAGGACATAACAATTTGGCGCACGGCCTTTTTGTGAGAGGTTTTTGACGTGTTAGCTCTGTTCTTCGAAGGGCCTAACCGCCAAAGGTGGAAATCCGTGAGATAAGATGGGGCGTGACATTTTTATGGTCTATCTCTTCTAACCCCTTTCCTCCTTGTGAGAAGGCAGCATCTCTGTTATGCTGGTTGTTGGAGGGAAACACCTTACTGCCGTCTCAGCCCTCTACAGTCAGCAGTACGACTTCGCCCTCAGACCTTGAGTTGCTGCTTGTAGTCTTACCGTTCTCTAATCGACCTGCCTGGCATGGTAGAACGTAAATGAACATATGTTCCAGCCAATATAGCTCAGTTGGGTCATCACAATAGGCAAGCCCGACCACCACGTTAAGGTAGAAGATACGGCCGAAAGGTGGTTAGGATATTTATTACGTATCCCTAATCACTACTCAATTCAAATCCACGAGCTGTGCGTATTAGCACAGAAGGTTGAACGCTAGGGGAGACCAAACCAGAATGTGGCAATAATCGATGGAGTCATTGACAGATGAAGACCACCTGACAAAGGTCTGGACGATAATTGTAATCAGTAGTTGGACATTGAGTGACACGGCTCAGATGATATTGTTTCATCGACCGATAAGCAGTTGCGAGATAGTCATTATACAAAGATATAGGTACTTTGTTGTGTGATACCTGGTGTTATAATTGGTGTTAAAACCAATTTCTTCAAAATTTTGTATGCGAAAAGCATTTTACATCTGCATCCGATAGGTTGAAATTTAAACTACATAACGAAAAAGCCATAGCTACGAGGTACAAAATCTCTCTATACGACAAATGTTTGAGGCGGGAAAATGTCAACAATTAGTTCAATGCTTTTCTGAGCATACATATTGTCCACAGAACCAATATCACGCGATTATATCCGCTTACTATTTGAAAGTTTGGATCGCCATAACTGTAAAAAAGGCCTAGGTAATGTAGAGAACACAACGTTTGATACACAAGTTGATTTGTGCATTTTTGGAAACTACTAACTGAGATGAATGAAGGTCTTTGAATGTCGTAGTGAGATAATATAAAATAATTCCTGATGAATCAGGATTCACTATGAAGTACTATGTTGATATCAGCTGTAACAACCTCTTATTCTACTAACTATTCATTAATAGATATCAGTCTTACTTTTATAGTCAGAACTTTAAGGAGCAAGATTAAGTTCCCAAAACCTTTGACTTCGCCTCAAAAGTATATTTCACCTAAAAGCATAACAAGTTTGGATTGTAATTTAAGGCCTTCTAAACTATAATTCTAAATCCGAAGACCAGAAAAACGTTTCTAACCTACGGTTTGGTTGCTTTAAGCAACAAATATAATAAAATAAACACCAAACAATTGAATTACCTCTTCTTAATGGGAGCAATTTATTTTCAAGAATTTCCTGTGCATCCGTTCCTTCATCCATCAAATCTAACTTTGTTAATACCCCGATAGTACGCAGACCCTGTGGGTCATATTCCTTAGCAAGTTTTAAGGCATCGGAATTAGCGAGGTCCGAATTAGCAGGGCTAACAGCCAAAATAAGACAGGAATCTCTCTCTATAAATTCAATGATCATGTTGCGGATTTGAGTCTCGATATCCGGTGGCTGATCGCCAACAGGAACCTTGGTCATTCCAGGAAGGTCAATGAGCGTAAGATTAAGGACTAAAAAGAATGTAGGAGTGAGATAAAATAATCACAACACACCGCTGGGGGAATGAATCCTGAGGTTGATTGGAATGTTTGAGATACCCTTATTAGAGCCCGTGATTCTGTCCGTTTCCTGTTCAATTTCCCGTCGGATATCATCGAAATCTGTGAACTTTTTATTTTTACAGTGAATAAATTCGCCGTATTCAACTGTTTAAAAGAAGCGGAATAAGTTAAATAAACTTCCTACCAGAATTATCATGTACCAGCTGAAGAATAAGCGGTCTCCTTGTAACGATACCACTACCTCTCGGTAAGAAATCACTTTAAAGAAAGTGTAATTTTATTTATAGCCTACCGCCCCACAAAGTTTTCCAGCACTGAGCTTTTACCAGCGCTTTGGCTTCCTACAACCGCAATCTGAGGTAAATCAAGGTTCAGCGGAAGATTTAGGGAAGCAAAGGCATCTTGAAGCTTATTAACAAGAGGGATAAGCCTTTCCATCCCTTCATTTCCATACATTTTGCACTAACTATAATTGCAGAAAATTCGTATAGCCCACCGATGCGTAGCCTTGAAAAATCTCAAGGCCAAAATGAATATTATGACTTCAAACAATCTACTGTAGAATTCGTAAACTATTTCTTATGACGCATATCCCTATGATAGTGATGAGTGAGTATATGTTCTATATCGACACCGGCTCTGAATCATTCCTAATAGATGTTATATATATCGCTTCACTATGAAGTTGATTACATGCCACCCCTTAGTAAAAGTGACCATGCAGTTTCAACTTTTGACTTCCACATAACTGTCAATCACAAACACATATCAGCTCAATCCAGACCTAACGTCTGGAAATCAAATATACAAAACACCATGCACTCAGCATCGTCAACAGATTGGACAATGGACTCAGAGTCCTCAATTGAAAAGACTTGAGACATATTTCGAAATGTATACTTAAAAGTTATCACAACCCTCATTCCTTTGATTACACCTAGGGGACTGAGAAACTCTCCACCATGGTTCAGTGGGGAGGTTCGCGTCCTTTTCCGTAAGAGAAGGAAAATTTGGATAGATTTAGGTTGCTGGGGACTGATGAGACGAACCTCGACCCTCCGTAAGTTAAGAAAGTTGGACGAAAAGAAAATTGTTAAGGAATCCATAGAATGTTCTAAACGCCTGTATTCTTATATAAACCAAAGGATAAAAAGAAGAAATGTTCCTTCACAATGGGTAGACAGTACTGCCTCATCATTAGTGGAGGAGGACTTTGATAAAGCTCAAGTATTCTCAAACTACTTTAGCAATTTATCTATTATAGAAACACTTTTCTCATCGGTTCATGAAAATCCTTCCACACAAACACTGGACAGCGTGACCACTAAGGAACTCGATGTCTTTGTCTGTTAAATTAGCATGACATAAGCAAATCCACTGGACCAGATGAACCGCATCTTAGGTTACTAAGGGAACTAGCTAACTTTGTCACGAACCCTTTGGGTAAGTCCCGTCTCCAAAATAGGTCCGAAACATAGACTTGAGAATTACGACACATTAGCTTACATAGTGTAGTTGTTAAAATCCTAGGAAAGATTATTCTGAAGGAGCTGTTTTAGAATCATGGTGAAAACCGGATCCTCTCGGAAAAGCAGCATGGTTTTAGAACAGGTTGCTCATGTCTCACAAACTTATTAGTCACTCGTGAAAGCTGGCACGCTTTTAAGGACCAAAAGTTACCTATAGACGTAGCTTACATCGATTTCAGCAAAGCTTTCAACAAAGTTCCTCACAACCGGTTGTTATATAAGCTAATGAAATGTCGGGATTGGAGGCAATCTATTGATGTGGATAACAGACTTCCTAGTTGGGTGCCAACAAAGAGTAAGGGTGAACTCCAAGCTGTCTAGCTGGGAAACTGTGCTTGATGGAGTCCCCCAGGGTGCAGTTTGGGAAACAGTGTTATTCCTCTTGTACGTAAATGACTTTCCTCTCAGTCTTGCTATATACTGACGATGTCAAGATATGGAGAGCGATACGAAGTAAGGGTGATAGCTTAGAACTCCAAAACGATGTACATAAATTATCTGAATTGTCCCAAATCTGGTAGTTGCCGAAAAATGCTTCCAGGTGTATTGTGATGCATATCGGTCATCAAGGTACAGATACATGCACGATGAATAACACTGAGCTACCTGTTGCCCAGACACACAATGACTTAGGAGTCATCGTTAGCCAAAACTTCAAGACTACTGCACACTGCCGTGCAATAGCCGCCAAAGGTTTTACAATTCTATGGTCAATACGTAGAACTTTTAGTCATATCGACGCTAAACAGCCTTTGACTTTGTATACAGTGTTCGTGTGTCCTAATTTTGAGTGCTGCATACAAGCTAACCCCTGCCAAAAAAGGACAGTGAGCTCTTGGAAAGGATTCGGAGAACAGCGACCAAGTTGATTCCCGGAATATAGAGGCTCACTTATGATGCTAGATCAACAGGCTGGATTTTGTAAGGATAGATCATGTACAGACCAAATCGCAACTCTACGGATCTTTGTGTAACAATCAACTGAATGGAATTCATCACTCTACATCAACTTCATTGACTACCAGAAAGCATTTGATAGCGTGGACAGGACAATACTATGGAGGCTTCTTCGACACTACGGCGTGCCTGAGAAGATAGTCAATATCATACGTAATTCCTATGATGGATTAAACTGCCAAATTGTTCATGGAGGACAACTCATCGACTCATTCGAGGTAAAGACCGGTGTGAAGCAAGGTTGCTTACTCTCACCCTTTCTCTTTCTCCTGATGATCGACTGGATCATGAAGACGTCAACGACTGGAGGAAATCACGGGATACAGTGGGCAGCTAGGATGCAGATGTACGATTTGGACTTCACAGATGATCTGTCTCTTCTATCATACACTCAACAACAAATGCAGGAGAAGACGACCAGTGTAGCAACAGCCTTAGCAGCAGTAGGTCTCAATATAAACAAAGGGAAAACCACGATTCTCCGATGCAGTACAACATGCACCAATCGAATTATACTTGATGGAGAAGCTTTGGAAGATGTAAAAACCTTTACATATCTGGGCAGCATCATTGATGAACACGGTGGATCTGATGCAGATGTGAGGGCACGGTTCAACAAAGCAAGAGCAGCATATTTACAACTGAAGAACATCTGAAACTCAAAACAATTCCCAATCAACACCAAGATCAGAATTTTCAATACAAATGTCAAGACAGTTCTGCAGTAAGGTGCGGAGACGTGGAGAACTAAGAAAACCATCATCCAAAAGATACAAGCATTTATTAACAGTTGTCTACGCAAGATAATTCGGATCCGTTGGCCAGACACTATCAGCAACAAACCAGATTCCAGTGGAGGAATAAATGAGGAAGAAGCGCTGGAAATGGATAGCAGACATATTGAGGAAGTCACTCAACTGCGTCATAAGACAAGCTCTGAAGGCCAAAGGAGAAGAGGAAGACCGAAAAATCCATTACGCGGAGAAATAGAGACAGACATAAGAAGAATGAACAAAAACTGGACAGAGCTAGAAAGGAAGGCTCAGGACAGAGTAGGTTAGAGAATGCTGGTCGGTGGCCTATGCTCGATTAGAACTAACAGTCCTAAGTAAGTAATTAAGTAAGTATGATGCTAGACTGACCAAGCTAAACCTATTCCCGCTGTCATATCGAAGGACCAGGGGCAACTTGATTACAGTTTTCAAATCGCTTAGTGTTAAATTTGCACCTGCCTTCATTTTTCTTGTCCTCCAAAACACAAAATTTACGGGGATACTCCAAAAACTTTTGCAAGCCCAGAAAAAATTCCTTGTCAGCTGACTGTCCACTTTCCCACGAATCATCAATGAGTTGAATTATTTACCTCAGCACATGATTGAGACTCCATCCGTTAACTCTTTCAAAAGAAAGTTGTATCAACTGAGAGACCGCCATTGCTAGGACTTACATAGGTCAACAAGCCTTCTGTCCTTTCCAAACTGAAACTGATTCCTAATATACAGAGACGGAAATAGTCTATGCTGAAAGGTATCGCGCAAAATGTGTGTAGCGAACGAAAACTCGAGAGTGGAAAAACAATTTACTATAGCCTTCATTTGTGGACACAAGAGGAAATTCGCAATCATTTTGCCTCTAACTTCCGTTTAACAATGTTCTCAATATTGTTTCTAATATGGACCCAGATTTATCAACTATATATTAAACAAGCGTTATGTTTAACGACCTAGATTGATAGTTGTTAAATAATGGGAGGTCATTCCGTGGATTACATTTTCTAAACATGTATGAGTTAAGATGTCTGGTAAAGTTGTCACTACTATGGTGAACGACATTAGGTAGTAATGTATTTTTGAAATTACTTACAGGACTATTGAGGAAAAAGTCTTGTGTTGGACTGCTCATTACTTTTATTCCTCGAGTCGCTCAGTATAATAAAATAACCAGTGTTTTAAAATTTTCTCAAATTATCTGTCAAAGGATTGATCACAATTTTATGTGTAGTCATATTACAACTGAAGATGCCACAGGTATTGTATATTGACAACACGTTAACCAGCAACACCTTCTGTTATCGAAACGTGTCAACCCTGTGTAATTAGAAGTCAGAGGCGAAGAGATTCAAAGATATATTTCGTAGGCTATCGATATATCGAGAAGTGAGTGATCTAATCTGGGTAGCGATTGCAAGGGATGTTGAGCACGGTGCGGATGCATGACTGAGCGCCTTCAGCTAAGTGAGTCCATTAAAACTATTATTATTATTATTATTAATGGCTTTATTCTATATTATAATCTGGTACAACATAGAATTCTCAGCACGAGTTATTTCAACAAGTTTTTTCCCAAAAAAATAAAACCAAAAAAACAACAAAAAACAGAAATAAAATATAAAAAAGGTTTAAGAAAATCTGAGTTTATACAAATTATCGAATATGAGACATGCTTAAGAAGACAGGTTATTTACTAGGTCAACTCTAACAGCTTGTTCGTCACAAAGTAAATTAGCTAAGTAAGGTAATACAGAACTTTTATAGATTTGCTTGCGTGCATGAATTTTAATGTATTTACGTCTCGTTCTACCAGAAGATATACAAGGAGAAAGATATGAATAAAGGGGATGTTTAGTATCTGATAAGATAACACCTGCCAAGAGTTTGCAAGCCTTAAGATGTCTATCCACAAGCATATTAACAATGACTTCAAAAGATTCACCACATACCTTGCAAACTGCCTTCAGCACTCTACGCAAAATAGCAAAGTCTTTTCTCAAAAGCCCAGGAAAGAATAATGGAGAACAATATAAAATAATAGGTAATATGCAGGAATTTACAAAGTGTAAGAGTAAATGGCGAGTAATCCCAAAAGCATGCAGCCTCTTTATGTAGTATGTCAAACGGTAAACTTTTTTCGATAACAACAAAACATGAGAAGACCAAGAAAGATCAGAGGAAAAAATAACACCAAGATATTTGACCTTCGACACTGTGTTTATTAAGGAGTCTCCAATGGCACAAGCATTATGGGATCCCAACATAGAGTATAGGTTCTGTCCATGTCTCAAGCTAAAATTAACAGCTTGACATTTAGATGGATTGAGTAAGAGACCATTACCAACAGACCACCTTTCAATACGAGATAAAAAGTCATTCATTTCTATAGGATGTAAAGAGGTAGAAATTGGCATACATACGGTGAGGTCGTCCGCATATTTTACAAAAGTGTTTTCTGTGGAAGATGGCAGATCATGCAAAAAGAAAGAGAAGAGCAGAGGTGAAAGAACAGCTCCTTGTGGCACACCTACAGTAGACAGTAGAGATGTTGAACACTTTCCTTCAAAGACAGTGTACTGTTCTCTTCCAGAAAGGTAGGAACATAGCCAATCGGTTATCCAGCTGTCAGTATCGACGCTGATCAGCTTGTTAAGTAAGAGGTGTCTTGGAATAGAATCAAAAGCAGAAGTAAAGTCCAGGAAAGCGCATCTAACATACTTCTTACCCTTTTCCAACCCGAACACTATATTGTGATGCAGAACAGCAACGGCATCTAATGTGCTTCTTTTGCATTTGTAAGCAAACTGATATGGATCACAGTGCTCTTTTATTACAGGTTGAAGTGGTTGTATCAGTAATTTTTCCATTATTTTGAGGAAAGGTGAGGTTATTGCTATGGGTCTAAGTTTCGCATTTTTATCACCAGAAGCCTTCTTAGGTATAGGGATTACCTTTATCTTTCTCCCCATTTTCGGTAAGACATTAGTTGAGAAGGATCTGTTGAAGATATTCATTAATGGATAACATAAAACATCGACACATTTTTTAAAAAGGAGGTTTGGGATACCATCAGGTCCTAAACATTGGGATGAATTCAGAGACTGGAGACATTTCCAGACATCATTTTCAGTGAAACTGGGGACACATTTATTCTTCAAACCCTTGGATATAGGAAGCATGATGTCAGATGACTGTTGAATAAAGGACTTATTTAAGTCACAAACATTTAGCTGGTTATCGCTTCTAGTCTGCCTGTCCCCTGTAATTTCTTTAAAGAGTTTCCACATACTTGGAGAGCTTCTGCAAGATAGAAGTTTTTGAGTGAACACACAGTTGAGACGTCTAATCTCTTGGTTTATTTGTTCATTTAACTTACGAACTTCAATAGTGTTTTTCTCCTTGTACATCCTTTCTTTTACCCTCCGTAGTCGTTTTAGTTGTGGAGATGTAAGTCGATCAAAACTTAAAAAGAAGGTTTCGGTAGGACAGCAAATATCAAAACAGAATTTAAGATAAGAGGTGATAACATCAGTTGTGTTTTCTATTGAGTCATCTGTAAGTAATTCCCAGTTGGTCGTACGAAACATGTTTTTTAGATTTCGTAAATTTTCTTCTGAGTAATTCCTATATATTACTTTTTTGGTATGGTGTATGTGTGTACTCTTTCCATGTTTACCATATACTTTAGGTAAGACACGAATTATACAGTGATCCGAACTAGACAATGGAGCACGTTTGCGAGTCACATAGGCACCCACATCATTAATGAAAACCAAGTCTAGATGAGAATTCAAACGAGTAGGAAAATCTACTACATTTAGGTGACCTAGTGATGTAAGGAAGCTACAGTCGCATGAATTGAAATCACCACATACAATTGAAAGTGAATCAATGAAGGCAGTAACGGCGAATTCAGTAAATTTATCAGTGAAGACAGATAGCGCAGATGATGTGCAGTCTGGAGTCATGTAGATATTGGTAACATAAATATATTTGTATTTATTCAGGTGTTTTGGACGGCACCTTAAAGTTAGACAGTCAATAAAGTCGTTTGAAAACTTGAAACAGGCAAAAGTAGATCTACACCAGTTAACGTTTACAAAAGTAGCTACTCCGCCACCACAAGTCTTTTTATTGTTTGATCGATCCTGACGATAGATATTAAAATCACGTAATGACACTAAGCAATCATCCTGTAAGTCAGTTAACCAAGATTCTTGAATTGTGATGACACCACAATTACGATACATGTTTTGACTTAGCAGAAATTGGAGATAGTCCACCTTGTTAATTAGTGATCGACAGTTAGAGTTAAGTAGCTCGGGAATCGACATTTGATTGATGTTTATTCTCTTTAAAGCATATTGCCAACCACCACGATGTCTCTTATTGTGCTTGTTTGTAATTTTTGCAGCGAAAGGACGTAAGCATTTTATAAACGCGCCTGTGTAGGTTATGCGATTAATAGACATAATGATAGGTTAAAACAAATTAAAAAAACACCCAGATAACTTGTTGAAATATTTAGATGGCAGAAAACAGGTAGCCCAGGTATTCAAGCAGGCCGCCTTATTAATATGGTCAGCATCCAATGTGAAGACTTGCCGAGCTATTGATTTTGGGAATTTACTTACGCTACTCGAATATGACCCAATCGTTCAGCTGAATAGGTCAGAGTTAAAATCACTCGAATACTGCCAAATCACTGATAAACGAAGCCTTAATGTTTCCGCAGAAAATCTAACCGGAGAGAATAACTAGCCAATCTTCTTTGATGAAGTATGTAAAAGCAACCATAGGTTTCGTTTGGCTTTATGAAAGTGTACTACGTTGAAGACCTGGTTTCAGGATACATAAATAGTACACAACCTTCATTTTGAGGCTTTTTTAGTTACTGACGATGAAATTTCAGTTGAATCGCTCATGGTTTGTTCCATTCCTTTCGGGAGAATTATGGTCCCTCTATTCTTTCACGAAATAAACATTGCCGAGTTCTGGTATCTCAAAATCAGTGAGATCATGGAAAGCTGACTGCGCTATTTATAAAAATAGGTTTATTTTTTTGCGTTATAGCATTCCAGATTTCTGTTGATTTTTTCTTACTATAGATTAGATTTCAACCCATATGTAACGCTTTTTATGCTATTTTTGTCTGTGAAATACTATTTCACACATGTCTTACTTTAGGTTTCACTAGCTGAAGTTTTTTCATTAGTATATAACTGTGTATTCATGAACACCGTTTTCCCGTTCGTTACATGAGTTCAGCCTGTCAGTGTTTTTTTATGTTCTTGCTTTATCTATCAGTAGTTGAAGTTACCGTCTTGATACAATATAATTGCACTAGTAATGTGATCACTTCTGACTTGTTGGGAAATTTCATATGTTGTATCCACATCACATTTTTTAACTTAGTCGTTAAAAGCCATAGATAAGGTTTCTTCCCTGACGAAGATGGTATGTAGTGTGACATCTCTAAGAGATAATCCCACAAAACATGTATCGATATATCGCAAGCTATGTATAAACACTAATTTGAACTGGACGCACCCTGCCGACTGACTAAGGTGATTTTCGTAGGTGAAGGTTTGGAGCTTCTCGCTCTAATAAACGTGTACACGAGTTGCGCGGAGACTCAGACATACCATATGAATCAGGTATGGTATTATCTGAGACCGATAATAGAGCAGCATTTTGTGGAGTTCGAGTGAACACTTCATATTTATCTGTTTTCTAGTTATAATGGGGGGATATGAAATATATAACAAAAAACAAAAAAATTGCCTACAGTTTTGGGACTGTGAATTAGAACGAAAAAGGTTAATATATGGTGAGATATTGTGTGGTTAGTGGACGATATGACCATGTGGTAGCAATCAGTTATTTAGGTACAAGGTTAGTTGTTGGGTGATCGGTCCATTGTTAAATGCAGTCTGGCTTAGGTAAGCTGCAATGAGGATGAAGTGAACTGCAAATTGGTGCATAAAGCAATTTAGAGAAGATTTGAATCGTGATAGTTTCATTTGACCGGATGCTTTTAGGTCGCCTATATCTATGACTCGAATAACCAGTAGTGAAGACTGGTGACCTAATTTTAATTGAAGGGCATATTTACCACTTCAAGTAAGTACTAAAGTGTAGTGGATGTCGAGTCGAAGACGGACTATGATCACCACTACAATTCGTTTACGCGCCCAAAAACGACTTGGTTCCTTTGATAGCTCGTAAAACAGAAGACTTTATTAATCCAGATCAATTGTATTTATTGGCGATCTCGTGGTATCGAATTAATACGGAGACGTGCCAAAGAGTACAGGCGAACAGGCAGTGCGTGAGCAAGTTCGAACCAAACAAGGCGGAGAGCGAAAGCAGAAGTGAAACTGATACAGTTAAACAAATACAGTAAAACAATCTCTGGTACAATTGGTTACAATAATAATAATTGTTTCCGTTATTCCAATCGTGTTCTTATCGAGACTGGCCGGTCACTACAGGAGCCCCCCCCCGGCTAGAAAGGGTTTACACTTTCGATACGTAGCGGTTTCGTTGGTGGGACTGATCGTGAAACGTGCAATTGTAGGACGAAGGCGTTGGCAGAACAGGAAGTGATCGTTGATCCTCGAGTTGCCACCAAAAGTCTTTGACGTAGAACGGTACCAGAAGGAACGTACTGTATTGATTGCTTGGATTAGCATGCTACACCAGAGTGGTTTGTATCCAGAATCTGAAGGTTGCGTTCGTAGATGTCTGGACCAAAATCGCTGCAGACGTAGGACGAAACCAGATTGAGCCAAGGAACCAGATGCGACCAGGATAACCATGTTCGGGACCAAATGTATACCATACGTATTTGGAGCCAGAGAGGTCTACTGAGTGCGTTGACTAGAGCGTGGGTGATTAGGCCAGCTTTCGCCAAAGTTGACTGAAGTCGACGATACCGTAACAGCGATGGTCGGAGGCGTAGGGTCGGGGTGAACAAAAAAATGAGAGAAAAAGAGAAAAGTGTAGCATTCGTGTAGTATAGGGTTAAGGTCCTACACTGTTTCCGCTGCTGGTTATGAGGTTAGTCGCGAAAGCGTACGGGTAAGCGTACTCTGCGACCGGAACGTGAGACGGTAGTCTCGTTCGAACCTCGTGAGCCTGCAATCTCATCCACAGTCAAGGGCAGTGTGGTCTGCTGGTCTGGACGTAAGACGGAAGTCTCGTCAGTAGACGGGGCAGATGATACGTGCTGTTGACTGGGATGTGAGAATGAGGTCTCAGGTGCATCTAGCGTGGGATCCGAAGTAGATGTAGCGATCCCGCTAGAAGCTTTGATGGGTTTAGCATTGGGTCTCGGCTTATCAGGTAGGGCACTGTCATCGACGTGTTCTGGCATGAGACGATCAATGCTGCCATGTCGATCAACCTTGAAGGTCTTTTCGTGACGGGAAATCACGTGAAAAGGACCTTCGTAAGACTGTTTGCTCAGATTGACCGTAAGTTGTCGTGTACCATAGTTAGAAATGACTGAGTCATCCGCAGTGCGTAGTCGAAGCATCGTAGCTTGAGACTTACTGTTACTGATGGGTACGACAGAAACTTGGGTGCCTGTATCCACAAGGTACCTAGCATTAGTGCGATAATCGGGCACGTAAAATAAACGGTCAAACTGAGGTAAAGGGCCGGTGAGTACGGCCGTATTTACTCACCGGCTCGGGAAGTTCCCGTCTTGTATGAGCAGGGAGCTCGACAATGACGGGCACCGGGCCCGAAGGCACGGTGGAACCAGCACCAACCTGGACTCGCTTCCGAAACCGCCTTCTGGCGTGGCTTGGAAGATGCCCGCTTGGGGAGAGTCGTTACGGCTGTTCGAGATCGTGACCTGGGTCGCTGGACGTAGGGGGCTGGCACATTTGAGCGGTCTCGGAAACGGAGACGAGTATGGATACATCTGTCCCTATCTCCATGAGCCGAAGGTCGTCTAGCATCGAAATCCATGTTTGAACGAGAAGTAGAGGCAACAATATAGTTGTCTTTGGCGCTAACACGTGCTAGAATCTTGTCTGCTATGAGGGCCACCTTGTTCAGTGGGATGTCCTCGAGCAGGGCCGTAAGAGTTGGTTGGATACTAGCTGGTAATACTTCGAGACATAACTCTTTGGCTATTTCGGAGTCTGCTGTCGAGTTTCCTACAAGGGATTGCAGGCGCGTGAGGTGGTGGCTCGGCTTAACATCATCCATAGGGTGACGTGCTAAGAGAGTCCTCAATCGTTCCTCTCTTGATGGGAGGAAATGTCGAAGGATGGCATCCTTAAGACGGTCGTAAACGTTCGAAACGTTCGGATTGAGGACAACCTCACGAACAGCAGTTAGGTGATCCCCGGGCAATTATTCCAAAGCGTAGGCGTACTTTTGCCTTTGGTTGGTTATGCGGTGGATCTCAAATTGAGATTCCAGTGCCGCGAACCAGACTTCTGGATCATGGGGAATGAAAGGAACCGGTCGAAAATTAATAGCCTGTACCTCGGAGTCTATTATATTTATACTACTCTTATCGTTATCCACCATAGTAAGTTGCCAAGATATTATATATTGAAAATATCAATACGGATATATATGCAACAGAAGTGGATAGATACACAGACTCACCAAATTGATCTGGGTTGGATCTGTCCTTTGAGTCAGGCACCTCCTCATGTAAATTGGAAAACTACGTACATTGTTAATTCGACAACTCACAATAATCTAGACAGGCACCAATCGGTCATACCTTCACAATATGGATTCATTTCCAAAAAGACGTGCGTACCCCGTCATCGAGAATACACTGACTATATGATAAATACAGTTTATTTGTTATTTTGTTAAACGCATAAACATTGGCATAGAAGGTCAGCAAAATATATATGCACCACACAAAGTTGTTTCTCACTTTGTATGTGGTCTGGCTGATAAACCCAAAAGTTATATTTTTACTTTAAATTTTTGACATACTACACAAAAGAAAAGTCATTATTCTTACTTAGTTTCTTGCAGCTGTCCAGAGGCAAATAAGATTCGTTATTTACTGTACTGACTGTTTAGTCGATTGCATCTATCGTGTTAAAATAAGTTTTAAAGAGTATATATATATCAAACATTGGGCGAAAGGCTAATTTAAGATAAATTCATTTTTCTTAAAGTATCAAAAGAGGGCTCATAATTACTGATATTTATTAATTTCAATGTGATAAGTTTCATCTAGATGAATAACGTATTCGAAAACAACAATTTTCAAGCGAATAAGCTTGTTCAATAACATCATCAACAGGTTCTACAGTTATAAGTCTATATTTATTGTATTACAATGGTCAAAATAAAACAAGCATAAATTAATTAGACAATTTTAACGTATTTAAGCAATAACTAATGCAAATTTTAACTATATTAGCAGATTCCATTGTTTAATTAGCTTACGTATTCCTTATTTTGCCCAATCTAATACGATAATTAGAACTGGTGAGTCTAATGATGAAATGATTGGGAACAAACATTCGCTTTATTATATTTTTGTACTTGGATATTCTATGGGAAATTTTAAATTTCTAAAATTGTTTATAAAGAAAGTAAAAATCCTTTAATGTTAAAAACAGGTATGATGTATAGTACTATGAATATGCATCTACATAGATCATATCATTATTATTAAATAAAATGAATATTTCAACTGGGATCTATTTTATAGAAGTGAAATAAGAAACTGCCTATTTTTCATTAAGATCAATCTCTTTAGACTAGATGTTCAAGTTTAAGAACAAAATCAAACAAAACAAGGAACGTTTCAAACCTTGGAGGGTACTAACAAGAAACCAAGAAATGATGGTAATTTAAGATATGGATATATGAAGTGAAATAGAAACTGTCAAAAGATATTACTTTCCTCTTTATTTTGATAGTTTATTGACAAAAAACCTAACTCAAATGTTGAAAATCAATTTCATACCATACTATACCATACCATCATTTCATACCATAATAATTAATGATAGTAATAGTAATAATAAATGCTTTATTCATTCGGATCCCAATAAATAAATAAATAAATAAAAGATTTGGTTTTCACAGTTGTGCTAATCAATGTGACTGAAAGGGAAAAATTTTTAAGACAAATTATTATTAAGTTTAGAAATCAATAAATAAATAAGGAAATAAATATGCATATTTTGTGTGCAACATGTAAATCAAATAATGCACATATATTTACTGATAAATAAAAGTGTTACAAAGATGAAAAGAAAAAAAACAAAATCTATAATAACAGATCAATAGGAAAGGTAAACATGTCTTTAAGTTCTTCTTTTAAGATTAGTAGTTTTATGGATAACAATAGTTAAAATTTTTCATAGAAATTTCGATTCCAAACAAACTGTGATATTATGTTCGGTTATCCAGAAATATAAGTGGATTACTTTTTCAGTAATTTATTGGTCAATATAAGTAACTCTTGATATTGTTATGGTTAGTGGGATATTGATTTTAAGTTTGTTTGTGCTACCTTTAGTAACCTTGATGATATGGATTAACATTTTGTCCCTTTGTTGTTCCACTTATAGTTTCACCATAACCGTAACCTTGAGAATTTACTAGTGGGTCATTTACAGTGGACTGATTATAACCCGTTGTATATCTTGAATTTGAAGTATAGATTTGATTACTATCAGTTGATGAATTCCTTTGGTTACTCACTCTTCGAAAAGACAGATTGTTATTTTTTCTTTCAGTTGGATCTGCATAACCATATTCCCCATGCATCATCTCTGCTGGTAAATCTGTTGGTGGTTGCCAATTACATTGAGCTTCTTCAGGTGCATCTGCCCAAGGTTGTTTTTCTCCAGATGCAAAGATAGCATAAAATGTAACTCCAACAAAGTGAACCAAACTAGCTATCAGAAAAACTATTGGCCATCCTTCCTTATTCTAAGGAAAAAAAACAACATTGTTGAAAGGTCAATTATGTTATCTGTATTTAAATAGATGTGAAGATGCAAAACAATCATTAACTAAACGGGTTTGAGTACTTTAGTAAACAACCTATTTGTAATTCATGCTTAGCTTTCAATGGATCTTTTAATATGATAACTACTTTGTTCAAAATGTTCTGCTGGATTCAAACTGTCCTAACACTTAAGTTTTGATCATATTTTCTAAGTTTAAGTAAGTACTAAAAGCACAGCCATATGATTTTGATATTTTCCTAAGGTTGATTTTAAACACTGTATTTCAGTAATTTTAAACTAAAACATTTTCTGTGTTACCTGATCATGTAGAAAATTACTACAAGTCAATAAATACATTGTACGTGTTTAGCCGTATTAACCATAGAAAGAATGAGTTTTGTTTTGATAGCTTATGTTTTTCCTTTGTTGATATTCAAGACCATACTCATTCATTCTCTAAAAATATATCAAACACCGGTAAATATAAGCGAAACATAAGGATTCACTCAGAGGGCACATTTTCAAACAGAGACTGACCAAATGCAGTCCTCGGTATCTCCAACGTGAAAACTAAACCCTTTGCAAACAAATTTATCAGTGTTAATTATTGGCTAAGTAGAATTAGTAGTTTGGTACATAAGGCGTCGGCACATGAAGTAGTTAGTTCTATGTTTAAGTTTCAGTTTTAATGTTCATCCAGAAAGTTTGAAATTGAACAAAAGTCACATCTTGAACATCAATGCTAAATGTAATGCAAGAATAAACCAAAAACATATTATCTTAAAGTATACTCAAGTATTTATTTATATGACTTTGAAATGAATCATAGTGGATTATTAGTGAGAAGTGAGAGATGTATTTTTATGGACTTAATAAACCAGTACCTCATTGTTTGTATTGTGGTATTTATTATATGACTTATTCAGCGTAACTGATACGTTCAGTTCAAATAAATGTATTAATACCTTTCATTTCCTACATAAAAAACCAACTTTCTGCAAACTAATCAAGTCTACAGAAAATAAAATGAACTGACTCAATATTATCGAGCAACCTTGCGATAAGCCTTGGAGAAATTTAATGAAGTGCTTACTTGATTTTTAGTAAGTAATTCTGTTGTAATTGGACAAATCATTCCAGATATTGTTCCAACACCATTAGATAAACCCATCAATATACTGGCATAACGTGGTGCAATGTCCAAATGGTTAACATTATAACCTAAAATGTGTCAAATATTTAAAGGGAAGAAAATAAAGGAATTTTAATTATAGAGACACTTTGACAACTGATGCACTGTTAATTAAACAGAACTAAGTTACTTCATTCTGTGAGTTGACTTGCCTATTACTTTTACCAAATGATATTCAGTTGTCTTTTTTATTTCATACTAGATATATATACTTACATTTACAACGCATAGAATGACAGTACACATGAAAATTGGAAGAACTATGCTATACAGTTGAGAAGAATATGTTGGGGAACAAATAACAGCAATAAAACTATTTTGGAAGTTATATAGAATGTCAGCTATCTATCATTTGTTTAATATTTACGAGGTAAATGATGGCTTACTGATATTGCATTCCAACCTGAAATGGTTTCAATACACCAATCTCCTGAAACGTACGTATGTTTAAGAACGACAAACTAATTAAACTTTGGTGAGCAATCAAAAGATTTGTAATAAAAAATGTTATTTTGATATATTCATCGATTTGCAGATTCTTTGTACCTTAACGAATGGTAAACGTTTTCGTAAACAAGATTGGTTACTTACAAGTAGTAAAATTATGTAAAATAAAAACTATGTAACTGAGATATGAAATTGTGTAAATAGATTTCATTGTACCGAAGTCTATAATTCATATATTGTATGGTATTCAAACATAGATTTGTATTACGTACCAATTTTGCTACTTATGAATCACATGGAATAGGTTCAGTTCGTAGAACTAGGCCTGAAGAAAGTTAGCTATTTACGTGAAAGAATTAGATTTATTACCATTTTCTATGAACATGAATTGGCTACCATCTAAGAAAGCTTTTTCTTGTTTTAAAAATCGTTATGCATATATTTCTTAAGACGAAATTGTTCAACTTTGGCTCTGGAACGAATATAACGTGTATACGGAGAAAGTTGACTTGTCATTAAGTTTACATTTTCCATGTCAATCGATGATTTATCGTTTGTTCAAGTGCATCTGAAAACTGGTATTTATGTCAGCGGTCTAAAATGCAATGTCTTACTTTAACAATCAGTACTTTTTGCATTATATCAATATGTTGATACTTTTAATCAGAGTGAAATGTTAGTGCATTTTAATAAGCGTTTCATTTAATACTAAATGTTTTATTACAACAGTAAATTTTTGGCATGGAAACGTTTCACAAAACCTTACGCTTAATCTTCATTTTTATTGCAAATATCTAAAACGATATTATTGAAAATCGTTAGACGAGTTTTTAACTAATTTTATTGATAATCACAGAAGCTTTTAGCTAATCCTATTGTTACAACCTGGTAACATCTCATACACTTGCAATAAGGTACTGTTGCCCATTTATATTTCACTGTACTTACATAAATATTGATATATTTGCCAAAAACTCCATCAGAGATCAGATGAAGAGTCAAGAAACTAACAGTAGTAGTGTCTCAAGTTGAGTTTTGAAGTAACTAGCTTTGTGCGAAGTTCTAGGAATTTCACAAAAGCTCGAAAAGAAACTTATTAAGTTAACAAATACTTTAAGTAATCGAAAATATAAAGAACTATTACAACCTATGAATAATTGGAGAAAGGTAGTTCAGAGGCTTATCCAATGCATCATGATGTTATTTGAGTTTCCATTATTATATAGATTAACCTAAAAAAAGCTCATTTTCGTACTGCTAAAATACCATCTGACTATCGTTTCTAAAACACTTACTTTCCTTTAATTAACACCATCGATAAAATTGTTCTAAAGTTAGACATCATGTACAATAAACAGAACGAACTGAATCAGGCAAAAGTATATACAATCCAACACTTTTTTTTCATATAATCTGTTAATTATTATTTAGTGTCATAAAAGTTAATTAATCGTTATCTGAAAAAACTAGGGAATTAATTTTTCGATTTTTTTTTAGAAAAAATAATAACTAATTTAGTGAATTACATAATCATTTCCCTTATTATAAATAATGAAAGAAAATAAGAAGATCCAAATTATAAAATGCAATATTTTATGTATCCTTAAAAATATTATGAAAATGTCATAATAAATAAAATTAAAATTGACATACTATTTCTTGCTTACTAATAATCATCACTTTTTTGTTTTTACTTCTATACATATACCCTTAAAATTGAAATTAAAACATTTATTATGATGGTTTAAGGTGTTTTGTTTTTATGTATAAAACACTTTCCACATCTTCCAAAGTTTCACAATCAAGTATGATTGACTTGACGTTCCCTGCGTATAATAAATACACTAGTCAATAATAATGGTTGCTCAAACTTCGTGGGTTGGTTGAAGTTAGATATCAAGACCATCGAATTCCGGCTCAGTGGTCTAGTGGTTTAGCGCTCGCGCACGAGACTGGTAGTTCCTGGGTTCTAATCTTGAGAGGTGTTATCGTGGATGCGCACTGCTCAGTAGTCCCACTATAGGACGAAACAGCCGTCTAGTGCTTACAGGTTTTCCATGGTGATCTAGTTTCAATTGACTCACGATTTCAACTATGAAAATACTGAAATCTCCACAAAACCCATTCTTATTCATAGAATTTATTATGATGATATAAATCTGCTTTGTAAAAGCTTATTTTATTGATGAATTTATCAGAATGAATAAAAAAGTTTTTAATGATTCATTCAAATTTAATTAAAATAAAATTGTTCAGCACTATTTTTTTAAATAGTTGAGATCGTGAGTCAATTAAAGCTAGACCATCATGGAAAACCTGGAAGCACGGGAAGTCCATTTCGTCCTATTATGGGGCTCCTCATTAATTCGCAGTGTGTCGCCTAATTTCGTGGATCGGTTGAAGTTAGACATTAACACCGTTGGATGCGCGCGAAACTGATAGGTCCTGAGTTCGAATCCCGCGAGGCGGGGTCGTGGATGCGCACATTTTTCTTGTTTATATTAAGGAAAATCAGATGAAAAGTTTAATTTAATAGTATTATAATTCTCTTTCTTTTTTTATTTGTTTATTCTAAATGGCTATTATAAAAAATATTCTTTTTAAAACTCAACATAAATTTGTTGATAATTTTGTCATTCCTATTGTGAATTTTATATAAAACGGTGAATTTTAAAGCAAAGACAAAAATAAAATGTATTTATGATAAAAAAGGGAAAGTAGGTCTATCACAATAATATTAAAAGGTAGTCTTAGCTATGTATTCTGAAACCAATAATAGTGATAATAATAATAATAAGACCAATACATCGAATGAGTATTCAAAATCATGAGAATAAAAAACACCGTATCAAACCAGTCTTATTGGTTGAACACCAGATCAGAAACTTCAAAGCAATAGACAATTTTGATCATACATAGAATAAATAGATGATATTTAAAAAGTCTGATAAACATATTTGTGTTGAACTGGTTTGTTAAAAATTCATAATTTTTATTTTCTAGGTTTATTTCTTAGCATAAACAAATTTTATAGTCATCAGTGAATGTCTAACCCCGCTAATCTTAGGATTACTCTCTATAGTATAAATATATAATGTGTTAGTTGGATGATTCTATAACTATTAGTTAATACAGAAACTGATCAATTAAAGTCCTAAATATCAATAAAAAGATTCAAACAACTAATACAAAGGAATTATTACCCAATACATTTAGTAATGTTTGTTTGAATCTTCCCATTGATGCTTAGGACTGCAACTAGTCAGTCTCTAATTGACATATGTACATACTGTGCGTATTGCCTCGATATAGCCTTAATTCACAAGCATGGTAAGCAAAGATGGATAGTGGCTAGCAGTGGAATCCAGGACGCGCGTTTCGTCCTATTTGTCACTCGTCAGTTGTATGTACCTGCATCTCAGAGTTAATGTTCACTCTGGGACTCGAACCCATTACCGTTCGCATCAAACGCCATCGTGTTATCCGCTCAACTACTGAGTCCTGACAGCCACTTGCTTGTACAATGGGGTGAAGTTTTATTTCATTTAGTATTGTTTGTTTGAATCTTCCCATCGACGTTTTGGACTGCAACTGGTCAGTCTCTAATTGGCATATGTGCATACTGTACGTATTGCCCCAATATAGTCTTAATTCACTGGGTTTGAGTTCCAGAGTGAACATCAAATCTGAGGTACAGGTGCATCCAGCTGACGAGTCCCAAATGGGACGAAACGCGCGTCCTGGATTCCACTGCTAACCACTATCCAATTTCGCTTATAATTTACATCACTGCTTAATCTGCTACAACCTACTTACATAAAGACCAAGCAATTTTCAAGGTTGTTCTACTTTTTATTGATGTCACATACACAAATTTTTTTTAATTTTCTTTTTGTTGTCAAGATCATTATCACTAGGGTATTTATTATAACAAACATAATGAATAATTAGTTTTAATCATCAATTAAAAAGAGATATGGAACGACAAGAACAGAAAAAACAAACCAACTCAATCACTATCATTATGAAAAAAAGTGGAAAATAGGCCCGTTTAATTCGATTTATTTGACATAATTTCTAAATAGGTTTTCTTATTATCCTTTTCTTAAAAATTATTATTATTAATGTTATTATTCAATCACTGTATTTGTGTTTTTATTTCATTAATATTTTTAATAATCTAGTATGCTTGCATTAAAAAAGTTTGCAAATAATTTCAAAATTGAAATTATAAGTTCAGTGAATTCATTTTGTATTCTTTGTTTGAATCTTCCCAGCTGACGAGTCCCAAACAGGATGAAACGCGAGTCCTGGATTCCGCTGCTAGCCGCCATCCATCTTTGCTGACAAGTTCAATGGTTTCCTGTTTAACATTATTTTTGTTAGAAAATAAACTTAATTTTGATTTATTCTACTTCTTTTTTTAAATTAGAATAAGATTTCTTTTATATTTCACATTATTTAGTGAATGAAATATTGATCAATAATAATTGCGCTTATAATTCAAACAAATATGCGAAGGATGCAGTAAGATGTGACATGTAATAATTGAACCGGGATTATATACTTTTACTTTATCAGTTATATGTTTGTTTTACTTAAAATATGAGTAAATAAGCATTGTCATAGGTTACTGTAATTGTATTTGCCAGTCGCATAAGTATTACAGCTTGTAGCTCAAATTTATTACTTCCTATTCTTTTTCACATCGAAAATACTGCTTTTGGATAATTGTAAGTAGTTGACAGAAAATATCAAAGATCAAAATATAATGCACACAAGTTTGAGTCAGTTAGAGTAGCAACTTCACTAAAGCATGATCAATAGTACCTGTTTACCTTTAAGGACAAAACAAACACAATATTGATCACAACTAAATGATCAATCAATTTAATTGTGCTAGTTGTTATTAATTTTGTTGTAGACTGAAGGTCACATTGTCATGGTATTCAATGATTATAATATACTGTTTTCTTTTGTCTAAACCTTAATTTCATCAACCTTTTGCATTTTTAAATTGTTAAAACGCATTGTTTTAATATAATGCTTCGTACATAATAAAGCAATCAAACGTTTACATTTAGCAATGAGTTTAGTCATACACAATAAATAAACACTTTAAGTACTTTTTTGAGCATTTTGATGTTTACAATATGACACATCCAGTCTGTAAAGAAACAAACATCTCAAGTCTATTAGCCACAATGTTATTGTATGTACAAATGAAGATTAAAACCATGTTAACCTTAAAAAGGTAGGTAATAAAATGAGAAATTCATTTTAAAAAGCAAATAGTCATCGGATCATGAGACAAAACAGTAGCCATAGTTAATAGGAAGAAAAGTAGAGTTAACGTTTAAACACTAATTATTGTTAGACAAATTAATATCACACTTTAGAAAAGAACATGGTTACCTGATATTGCAAATCCACTAAATCCGACAGCTAAAACAAGACACACTAAAGCTGATGTAATTGTTTTTGAATAACCAACACCAATTAAAAAGATCGCTTCTATTCCAAAACCTATTGAGAAAATGTAAGATAATATTATTTTATTCATTTATTAAGAGTAGTGAGACGTATTGAATTACCTATGATCATTTAAGTGGTTCCCTGACTTTGTATTTTTTCCATTGTAAAGATACTATCACGATGAAAGGTATTCTGATGGGCAAAAATGAAGATAAATTACGGATTATATGGACAATCTTTCTGTGAGATGCTTTCAGCTTTTTATCAAACAGATCACTATCTTTATTTCTACATAACATAATCTGTTGTTATTCATTCAACTTATCAACCCACAGAAGTCTGACCTTTATCCCTTAACATAATTTTTGAAGTGGTTTGCAGTTACATCCAGCTGACGAGTTCCAATAAAGACAAGATGTGTATCTGTAATTAGCAACCACGAGCAGAGAAAGTCAAGATACAAGCAGACTACGAAGAAGCAAACAAGGAAATGTAAAAACGCATTAAAGCCGACAAGTAGAAATACATGGGCGAACTAGCAATAATGGCGAAAATGCTGCAAGAGAAAGGAACATAAAACAACTGTATGATGCAACGAAGAAACTAGCATGTAAATATAGTAAACCAGAGAGACCTGTCAAGGACAAAGAAGGAAAGACAATCACGGACATTTATAGCAACCATCCTACAATCACTTTCGATTATAGCCACTTTTGGTTAAGCCCTTTTTATAACTTACTTAACAGACATTGTCATTAGGATAGTAACAATTTGCATATTCTTTGCACTGCTATACCACTAGAGCACATGACACTCTAGCCGAAATGTTGACTGCTTAAATATCATTCGGTGACTCATACTCCTCCCCATATATGTACGCACACAAATATTATTATCAGCCTTTGTTTTGCTTTGCTGTGCCCTTATTAAATTTGACTATAAATTGCCTATGTAATTGCTTGCTACTCTCTCGCTCGCTCGCTTGCTCCTCGTTCATTTCCTTTGCTTGTTTGCCTGTTCACTCGCTCGTTCATATTCGCTCAGGTGTTGTTAGCTTCCGAACCTGAGTCATTCGACAATAAACTGTAGTTGCTGCTATCCTTTGTCTTCTGATTTTACGCACCGTTAAGTTTAGAATTATAACGGTTATCGAAGTAAACGGTTAACGAATCGCGGCACTACAGAATTGGAGGCCTCGCCGAACAAGCACGACGCAATAGAATTGGATACCTCGCCGAACAAGCACGACGCAATAGAATTGGATATCTCGCTGAACGAGCACGACGCAATATAATTGGTTGCCTCGCCATACGAACACGACACTACAGAATTGGATGCCTCGACGAGCGAACACAAAACAATTTTCGACGAGATAATTTCATTTCGAAAATTCAACGTACTCTGTTTCTATTCGAATTATTATCTGGATTATAATCATAATTGTGGATTTATTATATCACAATTTTAATCGTATGTACATTATCCCATAGACATTATTGAACTTAACGATAATATTCATAATAAATAACGATTATTCACGAACAATTGATATATTGGTGCAATTTAGTAAGTCTGTTCCATTTTATATATTGTACCTTTTGTTATTATCATTTTTTTCATCGATTCATTTCTCTCAGTGACAATTACGTTATATTCGCATACTATTCAATTTATTATTATTAGTAGTAATGTCTTTAAATAACGAAACAATCGATCTTTCACAGTCACCATCCGTGGGAGTTATTAATGTTACTATTCCCTCTTTTAATGTTACTGATCCTCAACTCTGGTTTATTAGACTTGAAAATTACTTCGTAGCCAATCGTATTCTTTTACAGCGACATAAGTTCGGCTATGCAAGCTCACTACTTCCAGATGAAGTAGCAGTCAAGGTACGAGAGGTCCTAACTAAGCCGGATGCGGTAAATCCGTACGACGTATTGAAACAGGCAGTAATAAAAGCTCTCTCGTTAAACGACCGGCAAGCTGTCGAGCAGTTGCTCAGTGAAGTTCAAATCGGAGATAGAACGCCTTCGCAGTTAAAAACGTATATGAGCAACGTAATGGGAGACAGAAATGTGGATAAAAATATATTTTACCACTTATGGTTGCGACGACTCCCACCGAACGTACAGCAGATCCTCGCTGTTGGAGATAGCGATGTAGACATAGACAACATCGCTAAAATAGCCGATAAGATTTACGAGAGAATGAGAAATGCGACTTCACAAACACTCAACTTCACAGTTGACGAAAGAATCGAGGCCTTGCAAAAGGAAATTAATGCGCTATGCCATAAACTAACGAGTCTAAATCACAACGACAGGAAAAGAAGTTGGTCGCGCAGCAGATCAAGAGATAGAAACCGATCATTTTCTAAGGGACTACCAGATCCTGCTATATGCTGGTACCATCAAACATTTGGGTACAGAGCTCGAAAATGCAGGTCTCCATGCAAATTTAAACGATCCCAACGATTCTCAGTAACGACTACGAAAATCAACGCAATCGTTTATTCTATGTTCAGGACAGAGTAACGGGCGCGCAGTTTTTAGTAGACACGGGAGCAGAGATAAGCGTCGTCCCTCCATTGAGCAACGAAAAACAAAATATCGATACTGCGCTAACTCTTAAAGCAGCGAATAGATCCGATATAAAGACATATGGCAAGCGAAAACTAACCTTGAATTTCGGCCGTAATATTTCACTTCGCTGGGAATTTGTAATCGCTGATGTTTCCGTACCCATAATTGGTATCGATTTCTTAAAGAATTTTGACCTATTAGTGGATTCTCGACGAAACCAACTAGTGAATGGAGAACGCTCAGTAGTCATAAGAGGAGTGACCACTGATCATGTATCTATGAATTTAGTAGTGTCGAAAGATAGGAACGAGCAATATAAGTCACTTCTAAATAAGTTCGCCGATTTAACGAGGTCATCATACGACAATAAAGATCTTAAACATACAGTACAGCACCATATCGTCACGAAAGGTCCACCGACTAGAGTAAGAGCGCGAAGGTTGGACCCAAAAAGGTTAAACATTGCGAAACGAGAATTCGAAAAACTAATGAAACTTGGTATCATAAGGCCATCTAATAGTCCCTGGGCATCTCCGTTACATATGGTTCCCAAAAAGAATGGAGAAATTAGACCATGTGGAGATTATAGAGCCCTTAACAAGCAAACGATAGCAGATAGATACGCAGTGCCACATATTCACGACATCACTACCGAAATGGAAGGTGCTACGATTTTTTCGAAAATTGATCTTGTTCGGGCGTACTACCACATTCCAGTGGCCCCAGAAGACATACCGAAAACGGCCGTAATCACTCCATTTGGTTTATTTGAGTTTTTACGAATGCCATTTGGACTAACTAATGCAGCTCAAACCTTTCAGCGATTTATTGATCAGGTTGTTAGAGGTTTGACAGGGGTATACGCATATATCGACGATATATTAGTAGCTAGCGCTACTGTGGAAGAACATCTACAACATCTACGACAGTTATTCACGAGACTTCAAGAACATGGTGTCACTATTAACGTGGAGAAATGTGAATTTGGAAAGAAATCATTGCAATTCCTAGGTCATATGATAAATTCTCGAGGTATCATGCCAGTTCCAGCAGAAGTTGCTGCTATTCGTAATTATCCGTTGCCCGAGTCACAAAAAAAGTTACGACGATTCTTGGGACCACTGCCAGTTTCGAACGGGTACAACTATATTTTTACATGCATCGATAGATTTACCCGATGGCCTGTAGCGGTACCAATAAAAGACACCTCAGCCGAATCTGTAGCAAAAGCCCTAATCGAGAATTGGATTTCTCACTATGGTATACCGGCAATTATCACGACCGATAGAGGAGCTCAATTCGAAAGTCGACTCTTCCAGCAGCTTACAGAACTCCTCGGAATTAAACGTATACGAACGACATCCTACCATCCAATGGCAAACGGAATGGTTGAACGCCTACATAGGCAGTTGAAAGCATCCCTTACATCTGTCATTGTCAATAACGATTGGGCTAATAAGCTTCCTTTAGTCATGTTAGGTTTAAGAACAATAATTAAACAGGATATGGAATGTTGTCCAGCCGAGTTGGTATATGGAACTACTTTACGTTTACCCGGAGAATTTTTCGCTTCAGGTAAAAGTGTTCCGACTGATGTAGCCAACTACGTCCAACGCCTGAAGAAACACATGAACGATTTAAAAATAGCACTTCCCAGACTACAACAACGTCGAGTATTCGTACCTCAGCAACTACATAATAGCACGCACGTATTTATCAGAAGAGACAACGTACAACCACCTCTGCAGCCGAACTATGAAGGTCCATTTAAAGTGATTACGAAGACAGATAAGACAGTCACGGTAGAAAAAGCTGGGAAGACAGACGTAATCAGTATCGATCGTGTGAAGCCAGCTTTCATCGATAGCGATTTTCAATCGACAAGCACAAGCCTCTCGAAGACGATCACACCTACGAAACACGAATCTCAGGAGTCAACGACGCTAACGCACCAAAACGAAGAGACTCCGATAACGACAAAATCTGGTCGCAGAGTAAGATGGCCGCAACGTTATGTCGCTACAATCTTTTACTGATAATTTTCTGCTACTTTGATTATTAATTATAATTCTTCCTCTTCATTGTATACATATGGATTATTAAATTCATGCTATACGCTATTAAACTTGGCACAGCTTATGTACACCCTTATGCTCATACGTGTAGTTTTTTTTTTCGAAGCGATACCATATCCCTTCTATTTCTTACAGCTATTTTGTATAGCCTAACGGACGGGCACGAACTAAATACACACTAACTTTATTCTAATTTTGTACAAGCCCATATCTGCGAATGATTGTAACTACGCTATTCAATTTACTGTACATTATGCAAACACAGACATTTTTTTCATATATCTTTGTTTGCAGGGGGGAGTAATATAGCAACCATCCTACAATCACTTTCGATTATAGCCACTTTTGGTTAAGCCCTTTTTATAACTTACTTAACAGACATTGTCATTAGGATAGTAACAATTTGCATATTCTTTGCACTGCTATACCACTAGAGCACATGACACTCTAGCCGAAATGTTGACTGCTTAAATATCATTCGGTGACTCATACTCCTCCCCATATATGTACGCACACAAATATTATTATCAGCCTTTGTTTTGCTTTGCTGTGCCCTTATTAAATTTGACTATAAATTGCCTATGTAATTGCTTGCTACTCTCTCGCTCGCTCGCTTGCTCCTCGTTCATTTCCTTTGCTTGTTTGCCTGTTCACTCGCTCGTTCATATTCGCTCAGGTGTTGTTAGCTTCCGAACCTGAGTCATTCGACAATAAACTGTAGTTGCTGCTATCCTTTGTCTTCTGATTTTACGCACCGTTAAGTTTAGAATTATAACGGTTATCGAAGTAAACGGTTAACGAATCGCGGCACTACACATTCAAGAGCAGAGGAACAGATGGGTAGAATATTTTGAGGAACTACTGAATATACCAGCTCCATTGAATCCACTGGACATCGAAGCAGCACACACCGACCTTCCTATGGATGTCACTCCACCACCGATCGAAGAAGTCAAGATGGCCATCAGACAAATCAAGAAAGGGGAAGCGGCAGGACCTGACAATATACCACCCGAAGCACTCAAGTCAGACATTGAAGTAACTGCAAACATGCTTCACCTTCTCTTAAGTAAATTATGGGATGAAGAACAAATGTCAACGGACTGGAAAGAAGGATACCACACCAAGATACCAAAGAAAGGAGATCTGAACAAATGTGAGAATTACAGAGGCATCACACTGTTGTCAGTACCGGGAAAAGTTTCCAACAGAATGTTGCTGAACTGGATGGAAAACGAATTAGACGCCCGAATTCGAGGTCAACAGGGCTGAATCTGTAAGTATCGGTAATGCACAGACCAAATTGTGATACTACGGATCATCGTGGAGTAACCAGTTGAGTGGGACTCGTCACTATACATCAACTTCATTGACTATGAGCAGGTGTTTGACAATGTGAACCGGAGAACATTATGGAAACTTCTTCGATACTACGGAGTTCCTGAGAAGATTGTCAATGTTATCCGGAACTCATACGACGGACTACAGTGCAGAGTCGTGCATGGAGGACAGCTGACAGATGCATTTGCAGTAGGAACCGGATTCAGACAAGTCTGTTTTTTAATACTTCTACAACAGGTTTTTGAGCATTAATATTAGCTGTCCCAACATTCTAAAATTATTTCAAACGTGAACCTTTTTTTCCTGTTCACAAGACAGAATATTGGAATTTTATCAATTTACCTCCACAGTTGAATATTTTTCTTACAGCCGTTGTTGATAATGTATTTTTTCGCAATTTGTCCGCCAACTGTCCACCGATAGGAACAATAACAGCCATTACCAAGTGTGGTAATGCAGACAAAAATCCAGTCTAGAAAGAAAAACAGAAAGTTGTCTGATAAAATGTTTGTCTCTTATTGAATGGTGTAGAAAGTATGGAAATTACCAGAAACCTGTTGAAGCATTTTGTTTCACGCTCTTGCTTCATTTAGATCAATCTTGTAAAAAAATACTATAATAGAAGTAGAGTGTATTTATCTGACAATGCTTTTATTGGTTTACAAATTAAACCGAAAGATTTCACTCCATAAGCTGAGAATAAACTCCATGTTGTCAAGTTATCTAGGTATATCATAGTCAGCAATTACGGTTATAGTTTAATTTAATTAGTCACTCAATTAAAGATATTTTAGAATAACTTCTATTCCAGAATTAATTGGAGTCATCATTTTTACTGCTTTAATTTTTCTTCCATCATGACTGACTGTGCTACATTTAACAAGTTCATAGAATGGTGAAATGGTAATTTCGTTGTAGAAAACTTTGCATTTTTGATGCAAATCAGCAAAAATGATAGAGAATGAAATATAACCTCCATCATGGATTACGACAGTGTAAATAATAATAATTCCCGTTTCATTTTGCTTGGTTGCCAGATACAAGGTCAAAAGTACGAACGGTAGTGGAATTAATCTTCACTCCAATCCATATGGGAAAAACCAATAAAACACATAGTTTACTTTTAAGTTCCCCAACCATAGTATGTATTTTCAAACTGTGCATTGCTCTTTGAAGTTTAGGCAATCGGTTTGGTCATTGTTGTAATTGATCAAAATACTTACAATTCATCCTATACCTAACGTTCAGTGATTGAAATCTTTAGAAACTCATGCTAAATAACAATTGTTTTCAAAGTACCATGCTTACCTCAGCTAAATTATAACCAAATACTTCACGAAAATATTTTGGTGACTTTGTAATTAATAAATAGAATGACCAACTTCTTGCAAAGTTCGCAACAATTATCGCATAGACAGGTGATGATGTAAAGAATTTTCTCCATGGAATTGGTATTTTCTACAAAATAAATTGAAGAAAACATAATTGATTGCGTGAAATAGTTAATTTAGAAGGGGTTTTGTGGAGATTTCAGTATTTTCATAGTTAAAATCACGAGTCAATTGAAGCTAGATCACCATGGAAAACCTGGAAGCACTGAACGGCCGTTTCGTCCTATTGTGGGACTTCTCAGCAGTGCACATCCACGATCCCGCCTGGCGAGATTCGAACCCAGGACCTACCAGTAAGTTTATTTATTGTTTTCATTATATTTCTCATGAATATATTGGACTATAGCAGAAAACAATAGATTTTATACACAAACCAATGGTTGTAAAGTAAAGTCATGAAATTTATTCACTAAATTTATGATATATTATATTAGTTGGATTTCTAAAAAACAAAACAAAATTATGTAAATTATTCATCAGTTAAGGATTAATATAATACTGAATTTGTCATTATCTATAAAATTCATGCTGGGAAATCATGATATCTACTTGTTTAGTTAATTATGCAAAGATATTGAAAGAATTCATGTTGACATGGCAACAATCAGTGTGAAAAAAAATTTAGACTTCTTCCTGAGTTTCAAATGAAGTGCTGACCAGATATATATATATATATATCAATTAGTTAGTTAGTTCAACTCAATCTTGCATAAGTTTGGTAGAGATTCACTTATAAAAATCATAAAGCCTTAGACTGATATTTTAGTTAACGTACATTCAAGTCATTGATAAACAGCATATAATTTCTAGCTAGTTTAAAATAGAATTAAATGTGGAGCCTAGTTTCATGGATACATATCAGTATGTAATAAAAATGATCAAAGTTATTGCAAAGACGCCACACTTATATAGCATTATTTATGCAGGTATATCTAGCTGATATTTCCCAAATGGTCCAAGACAGGTGAAGTATGTTCTACTTATGACCACTAGTTAACTTTACCAAAAATGTGTAACTGAATGACAAAATCTAAGCACGAACGCTAAAATGGACTATCAACGGTATTCCATAGTGTAAAATAAAAACCTTTACAAATATATAAATTTTTCTAAAATTGAAATATTATTCAACGTTGTACGTAAGTAAACCAAATGAAGAAATCAATATACCTGTATGTTTAGGGCGTTTACATTTTTCCAAAAAAAAGCAAACGCTACTTATTATTAGATTATACCAATCGATTTATGTGATGAAAGTGGAATCCACAGTTACTCCAAGATTTAATTTGTATGTTTATTAGATGTAATTTTTTAAGCAGGAAAATGTGGAAACAGTTACTTTGGGTTATAGGTACTTTTAATAATTGTTATAGTATCTTGTTTATATAAATGAGAAAATTGTACAAAATGTATGTTGGGAGAAAGTAAACCTCTTTTTAAATTGCTCATATTTAAATTTAACTTTGTTTTACTTGGGTTATTGTGAGGGAAAGTCATGGGTGTTGATTGGAAAATGAAGTATATTCTCTTTTATTAAAGACAATATTACATCATGATTAATTAAAAGACAGATAACGATCAAAAGTTATAATTATGAAAACGGGAAATGCAAAATAAATAAGCCCTGACTAAATGAAAAAGAATGATGTTTCAGTGGAGAAAGTTTTCTTTTCGACATTATCATTTTCTGAAGTTATACGATCGTATTTATAGATGACTTTCCTAATATTTATTAGTCTACAGTAACATAGAGGAGTTCTAGAGAACTATCAAAGTCAAGTGGAGGTCAATGAAAATGCAATGGTTTTGCACAATATATTCAAGATTTTTGAAAATTTAAATATTGAGTATAATAATTTATAAATGGAGTGTTATTTCATTGCAATTAAAATTAAAATATTGAATAATAAAAAGGCGTTGAATCATATATCAAAGTAATCGAAATCCATCAGGAGCTTACGCTATGTAATAGTTTTGGATGTAATAGAAAGCAATAACCTATGAAAATAAGGATAAAGATAACTGTCTACTTAAGATGCCACCGATCAAACGCAACCAAAGCTAACCACAATACTGAAAAAGATGAAATATGAGTCACCCATTGACGACCACCTATCCGAACATTTAAGGCCATTGATTTTTATCCCATGATTGTATGAGCTGCCGAAGGTACATAAGAAGGATCTCCCTTTTCGTCAGATGGTGGATATCAATAGTTATTCATACCAAGTGATCGCCAAATGGCTGATGGATATCCTACAACCGGTCAGAAAATGGATCTGCAAACATGGCAATTCAAACTCTTTTGATTTTGTGAACTCAGTAATCAACGTCACTGTATCAGGAAAGAAAGTGATATTGTTAGATTTCACCTCTCTGTTGAAAAATGTTCCACTTACAGAAAGTATTTGCTTCTTAGGTAATTATATTGACGTTAACAATGTTGAATTTTGTATATCAAAACATTTTTTGGAAAGCTTCTCCTATGCAGCACTTACAACATGCAATTGTAGATTTAATGATGATCTCCATAGACAAATAAATGGTGTCGTGATGGGATCTCTATTGAGTCTCTTTACAGCTGGCTGCTTTATGGCCAGCCTCGAATACACCAGCTTTGCATAAATAATCGATAAAGTTTATTTTTATTCTACTTTTTTACTGTGGAGTCTTATATGTAAGAAATAAATTGTTGACTATTTTCTTAAGAACTTATAATATCGACCAAATTGAATGAGAACTCACACTTTCGTTTATTGTAGGCGACTCTCCAATGGAAGTTTCAATATATGTTCGTTCAGCTTCTGATATAGTTGGATGTAAGGAAGGGCGTTCATGTGTTACATTCCACCACCAAAAGAACCACATAAGACCGACAACACCTAATTAAACAATTTTAAAAAATCACAACTAGATAATTTTAGTTATTAATTATGAATTTTTCTGCTTCATATAAAAATACATTTAAATCTATGTCACTTTACAAGTATTGATAATTGTGAATTATCCCTTAGAATGCTGAAAAGTTATTAACCTGTGAATAACTGTAGATATTAATAGCCTCATTATAATTTTAAGATAATTACATGCATATACTCAGATTAGAGTAGAACTTTAGTCGAATTCACTATTTATTCTATCGGAATATATGCTTTGTATCAAAAATGTTGGTATTTAATATTATAAACACTCCAACTGATGTCAGTTCGAGACAGAAATACCTAAAAACCAAATTAATCTTTACCAAACCTTCGAATTTTAAGTACAGATCCGTGCTTGTCAGTGACTTATTTTGTGGTGCTTTACCTAGATTCTAATGGGAATCTGTGATCATCAGTGAGTTCAGCCATAATCTAAGATATTAAATAAATGTCTTGTTATACTGCAATTTGAATAGAGCCATTGGATCACAACTCAGCCGTTTAACAGGTAAAGTTCACATTGCTAGTATTGAAAGTTCCGGATTCGATTCCTGGTAAGGTCGCGGATGTGTATTTTTTGGAAGTCTCATAAAAAAAAAATGGCTATTCAGTGCCTCTTTTATTGGGACTAAAACCCATACCTTCCTTGAAGAATCCAGTCTATATATCGAAGTAGTCTCTACTATACATATGTAACCTATCTTATCAGGTTTTTAACTCCACGAATCTTATGTAAAACCATAAATCATAAACTCTGAAGTTATCATACAACTTCTCGTGTCTGTCTCTGAACCTTACTTAACTAATGCATCACCCACCCCTTATAACTTTTTTTATTCCAACACCAAATGTCCTCTGACATGTTCTTGTACATATATATGGAGTTATTATTGATAACCTTTGTCCATTCTTTTCATGCATCTATGCCAATTGTTTCACACTATATCTCACCTCAATGTAAACTTTTAACACATATATAGCAGCTGATGAGAAACAAAATCACGAAATTATCGTCTTATGACTGAAATATTAGTTTTTTAATGACAGAAAAGCAAATACGTTCTTCTCTTATAATAAACTATTTTACCATAGAAGTAAAAAGGTGACTGCCATCCCATTTGTTGAGCCAGTAGACCGGAAAGTGATAATCCAAGTACTGCACCTGCATACGAACCTACATTTGATTTTTAAAAAAATTAAAAAAAGGAACAAATTACCTGTACACAGTACTTTATTTAAAACACATATAACTTTAAAATATAAGGCTTGCTTATTTTTAGTTTAGTGAAGCTATTATCTGGATTGAGCAGTAAACATCAAATTTGTTAGTATGGTAATTTATTTATTGTCCTTAGTTAAAAAGTTGATGTACTATGGGTAGAGGAAGTAATACATTACAAAAGAAAAATGAAAATGTTTGTTCGTTTTCAAAAATCAATAATTCATGTATAGCGTACTTTAGTTAAAACTTCCCTAATTTTTACTTGTATGATATAAACAAGTTTTGAAGCAAGTTTTTCTGTCAAACATTATTAAAAGAATTATTTTTCAACTAAGAAAGAATTTTAAATAATTGAAATCATGAGTTAGTTGAAGCTAGACCACCATGGGAAACCTGGAAGCACTGGACGGCCGTTTCGTCCTATTGTAGGACTCCTGAGCAGTGCACATCCACGATCCCACCTGGCGAGATTCGAACCCAGGACCTATCAGTCTCGTGTAGAAGCGCACTGCTGAAAAGTCCAGTGTCTCTAGGATTTCCATGGTGATCTAGCTTCAATTGTCTCATGATTTCAACTATATAAAATTGCTAAAATCTCCACGAAATCCCCTTCTGATAAGAAAGAATTGACTGTAAACGAACAAAATCCTAAATACCATAAATCCATCAATGTTATTAAAATGAGAATAAACAAAATTTGAAGTAAGAATACATACCATAAAACAAATTCTGTATCTCAATGGTTATTTTTACCAATTCAGAGTTCATAAATATTAATTTATAATATGAAAGATAAATTAACATTTTTCACTTATATTTGCCAAGTTAACTCACTTATCTAAATAGTATATTCGATACATCAGAACAATAAGTCATTTTTCATTAATACATGTTGTCAGTAAAATGGCTAAAATATTACTCCTTGACATGGTAAATTATAAATATACATTAAATAATAGGGATCAGTAGTTAAACTAACAAAAGCGTTTGAATGTACATGTATGTATTTTTATGTGCAAATCATAAAAAGAGGTATTTTACACTTTCTGTTTAAAATTTCATTGTTCATAAAAGAATGTACCGTTATTAAATTATGTGAAACAAACAGTACTAAGTGAATTTAAACTTCAATCAATTGCACAAACAAGTGGCTATCAGGACTGAGTAGCTGAGTGGATAACACGATGGCGTTTGATGCGAACGGTACTGGGTTCGAGTCCAGGAATGAACATAAACTTTGAGATGCAGGTACATCTAGCTGACGAGTCCAAAATAGGACGAAAAGCACGTCATGCGTTCCACTGCTAGCCACTATCCATCTTTGCTTATATGAAACAAAGTTGTTACAATTTAGTTTAAAAAGAAACCTACCACAAAATGCAATTGTCGCTAGTCGAGAACGTTCAAGTGGTGGAGCCCAATATCTCCATATACCATGACATGCTGGATAAGATGTACCCTTTACAACAAAAAACATTTTATATATGAAATTGATTAATAGCTAAATAAAAAACTAAAATTTTGAAAATGTGTATGTTTTAGAACATCATTATTCGTTGACCAGAATATCACTATATTTTAACTTATTTGATTTAGAAAATATGAAAAAGTTTCAGGAATTCTATTAAATAATATAACTGTATCTATCAAATGAATTCTTTGGAGAAGTTAGATCAGTATAATAACGCACTGACATTAGCTAAACCACAACGCGAAATTAAGGAACATGAACACGACTTTTTGCTTTATTTGAGGCTCTTGGCGGTGGATACCTATATTTAAATATAAACATTTATTTATTTTGACAGTCATATTATTTTGGACTTTTGAGTAGATATTCAATGATCGTTGCTTTCAAATTTTGTCATCTTTTACGGTCTATCTTGATGATTAACATACGAAGAAGACCAATCTCAAATGAAGTTTTTCTCCACAAATTACCCAAACAAACTAAATTCAAAGTGAATTCTTTCTTCTTAAAATAAATTTAATAGCTTCTCCATCTAACTTTCCTTATTTATTCTTAAGAGTTCAAGAGATATAGTTTCCGATGTTTTCTAACTCCATTTTATGTCAAACTATCAAATGGTCACAAATCAGACGCACGTAATGTTAAGTTCTAACGTAGTGGTTCAAAGGAAACGTGTTTCACATGGGAAATCGAGATTTTGACTTCAAGCTTGTGTTGAATCGTTTATTTAAACAAATGATAAATCCCACACGAGAGCAAAACAGGTGTTGAGTACTCGTTATTTCCAGATGATTCTCTACGCTGATAACAATTTGTAATGCTAACAGTCTTAAGAAATAATTTTCCAGATTTCATCGTTGGGAACTAAATGTATTTTGGAGATTAATTAGAGATTTATCATACATATCTAAATACTTATCATTATTGTTTCTTGAGGATGTTGTTCAGTCACAGTTTTTTTGAAAAGAGGTGTAATATAATTTTTTAAAAAGTGAAATTAGTTTATTTAGATTTTTGAAAAATGTTGTTTGAATTTTACTTTGTATGATAAAAACTTTTTATATCTGTAAGTTTTGATTAGAATATTTCATCCAAATTAGATGGGGTTATATCACTATTTTCTAATTTGTTAAATTCATTAATTAATATAATACTTTGAATTGTTTAGGAACTTAAAACAGCTGTCAACCAATATCAAAGTGAAAATCTTCAATGCGAACGTCGAGACAGTCCTACTGTACGAAACTGAAACGTGGAGAACTACTACAACTATTTTCAAATAAGTACAAGTATTTATCAATAGTTGTCTACGCAAGATAAGCGATACTAAGCGGATGCTATAAGCAACAGCATACTGTGGGAGAGAACAGAAAAACTTCCAACTAAAGAGCAAATTAGGAAAAGACGTTGGAAGTGGATAGAACATACATCATAGAAATCACCGAACCGCATCACTAGGCAAGTGTTAATTAAAATCCTAAAAGAGGAGCGGTAAAGAGGAAGATTGAAGAACACACTACGTCGGGAAACGGAAGTAGATATGAAAGAGATGAATAGCAACTGGGAAGGATAGCTCAGGATAGAGTTGGATGGAGAATGCTGGTGGCTGGCCAAAAGTATTCAACAGTATTAGTCAGTTATTATGTGTTAATAAGATTCATGAATTTTTTATGAATACACTGAATTAGAAGATTGAAATTAAAACAAATAATGTTCAATTGTACTTTTTTTAATTTTACCTCAACTAAACCTTGTAACATTCTTATTATCATAACTAATCCAAAATGAATTTTACAAGCAGCTGGTAATAATAAATTTAAAAAAGCACTTCCACCAACAGCTATACCAAATAATCTATTAGCTGGAAATTTAGATGCTATTACTCCACCAGGTATTTGAGTTATTAAATAACCATAAAAAAATGAACTATCCACAAATCCTCTTTGACCAGCTGTCCAATAAAAATCTGGTTTCTAAAATAAATAAAATTTAGATAAGTTATATTTATGTATATCAAAAGCAATGCGAAACAAAATGTAACAATGTGAAATCAATTACGTTTATCTAAAACATAATTTATGTAATAAAGTATGATTGAATGCTGAACAAACATTCATAATATAAAACTATTAATTCCTAAATATTTAGTTCAGTTAAATTACTCGAAGATAATGTAAATAAAAGTAAACTGATGATAATTGAGAAGTACCAGATAATAAATAATCAGAAATCCATAGTTTAAAGATATCAGCTATTGGATATCAGATATTGGATGCACACTGCTGAGGAGTCGCACAGTAGGACGAAACGGCCGTCCAGTGCTTGCAGGTTTTCCATAGTGGTCTAGCTTCAATTGACCCATGATTTCAACTACATAAAATATCAGCAAATAGTTGGTAAAAATGTTTTGTTTTTCATCATAAAACTTCAACATTTATATGAATTCATTAATTATTTGGACATTCTACGACAATCTCATTCAGGTTAGAAGCAAAAAAAGATAGTGGCCAACAGTGGAATCCAGAACTCGCGTTTTGCCTTATATGTGACTCGTCAGATGGATGTACCTGCATCTCAAAGTTGATGTTCATTCCTGGACTCGAACCCAGTACCATTCGCATCAAACGCCATCGCGTTATCCACTCAGCTACTCAGTCCTGATAGCCACGTGCTTGTGCAATGGGTTGAAGTTTAAATCCACGTGGTATTATTTATTAGGATTACAATTCATAAGTCTCTTATTGGCATGTGTGCACACTGTGCGTATTGCCCTGCGTCCTGGATTTCACTCTTATTCACTCTCTATCTTTGCTTACAATGCTTGTGAATTTAGGCAGTATCTAGGAAATACGCACAGTATTCACATATGCCAATAAGAGACTGATCAGTTTCAGTCCTAAACATCAATGGGAAGATTCAAGTAAACAATATCAATTGAAATTCATTCAGGTTATTTTGTTATAATTGTTGGTTAATGATAATGTACACCGCCATCATCTAGATTTTAATCTGCTGTTCGATTTCTAATTCTCACGTTCTATATCCTTCCAAAGTTCAATATGGAATTATACTAAAATGATATGCTACAGATTATGTTTACTGTTTATTAGCTCATTAATTGAATAATAAGGAAATATAAATCAAATACCATGCATCATCTAGGTGGAAACGGATCACGATTGCGTTTTATTCATTTAAATTACTTGGTAATTAACAATCGAGATCATTTATTACTCAGCACTCAATTAAAATACTTAACTATTCGTTACAAATATCATTTTATTACCTTATTGATGATAAAATGGTCGTACGTGTAACTTTGGTTAAAACTGTAGTATAATATTCCTTATTAAGAAGACTGTACTTCGATTAATAATCCAAGAAAGTAGTGCACTATAACTTACACTATACAGTAGTTAAATGTCTAAATTAATTAACTTGATTATTGTTGAAACACACTGTAATTAATAACTGTCATATCAAACGTTTACAGTAATTATCTAACAGATTTGTTGAACAGCTGATTTTTTTAATAGTTCTCAATCAGAAAGTTCAGTTGATCACTACCATGTTTGAGACTCTAAAGTTATATAGTCCGCGAAATTAATAGGATCGTAGGTTAACTTTAAGAGGTTTAAAGGTTTATGAAAGATGGTTGAATAACCACACAGATAATAACGATTAGGTTTGTTAACTAGAATTGTGCAAAATCCTTTAAAAGCATTGTGATAGAATTTTATGACTAGACTTTAAAATATATGGACATCGGCAGTCTTTTTCTGTACAAGATATTACATTTTCTACTTATATTCTCTCTATTCAACTAGTTGTACGGTACTTTTGTCGATAAACTGAAGCTTAGAATTCATCAAGTTGTTCACACTTTTTCTTTATGTGGAACAACAATTTCTGGGTTATTAATACTGGTAAAGAATAAAATATTAATCGTATCTTAGTTGAAATTGCTGAAAGGGGCTTTTTCCAAACGTTTCTGAACTAAACTTATATAATATTTTAGCGTAAACCTGCTGAACACATATCTTTTAACAATTATATGGTTGATACAACTCAGTGTTTAAGTAATTAGTATATGTTGAAATTATTGTTTACAACTTACCGCCGTTACATTCATCAGTCCACCAAATCCAACCACATGATCACCAGATTCATGATGTGTATGCTCATAATGTTTAGAATGTGGTAAATGAGACAGATTTGCTGCTATGTGTCTAGCTTGCATAGTCAACATAGCCCAACTCATATTACAACGAATACCAAATGTAATCATAAAGCCTAAACTTGATAGCCATGCCGTATAATAACGCTTTGAACAATGACAGCATAAGAAGTACAAGCATTTTCCTTGACATGTGTTATCAGCGTACGCTGTCCCACCTGATCCGTCAGTGTTCATTTGTCCATAGCCTGCATTGGTTTCAGGCTTGACAACTCCTTTGTTCGTTAAGAAACTGAAATAGTATAGAGTAAAAGTGTTATTATTTAGCTTTTTTTAAATTAATTTATGAATATATCGTTTGTTTCATACTAACTATTTCAAACTTAAATGTCCCATCGATTTCTACCAAAATTATTAAACCTGTATTAGTGCTGGTCCACAAAAGTTCACTGTCATTGACTATTCTTTATAGTATTTCAGTAAGTAAGATGACCACACGTCTAACACTGTAAATGTGTACAATTTTTTTGGTTTAACTTTTAGGGATATATAACTTTCAGAGGTGACTGAAATGGAAAAAATGGTTACCCTCTTTTCTAACATTTTCTTAGAAATCAACTGCTTCGTAGTATAGTTATCTCAATGTATTTTCTAAATGATTTTTTTCTATACTATCTTCTCAGAATTTAGTACTAAACATTAGAATTTGGTAGACCTTTAACTGAAAGATCGATATACTGCAAAAATACAGTTTTATTATGTGAATCTTTTTTCGTAAAAGTATCGTAAACGTGTTTTAAATTAATTAAATAGTATAATTAATTCTAAACCAAAAGTTATTTCTATAGTTTTCTAAATATTTTAAACAATAGCTTTGCTACCTATAATCTGTGACAAGGTACTCTTGCTTCGGGTTAGTTATGTAAATTTACTAAACGTCTTAAACTGACTTTCTGTGAAGATTGCAGTATTTGGAAAAGGTACTTTCTAGAACAATTTACCTATTTTCGATTGTGAAACATCGTTAAGAAATAGTTTATGTAGTCGCTCTGTATGTTGATCAAATCTAACTATCTTGCCTTTATAAAAGAGCAACATCACACTATAATAATGAAAGTTGATGTTCAATACATTCTCAAGATATATCTATATATTAAAACTACGACAATAAAAACAATTTTCGAACCTAAGATTGCTTACATTTTTCCACTATATTAGCAAAAAGAGAGCTCTTCTTGAAAAATACACTTACCTTCAAGACGTTTTTATTTAGAAGTGTTGGTGTAAATTGTATTTGAATTTCTTACTTTGTTTAAACAAATAGCCAAAGACATACTGGTTATTTATGTAAATTTTCTTTTAACCGCTAACAGAGTCATTCATTCATGTAAACATGAAGATGTATTACATGATTGGAGGGATATTGTATAATTGCAGCTGGACGATTTAGTTACAAAGCTTCCATCAACTTTCTAGTCAACATCATCAGTATATATTTCAAAGATGAATGAACTGTAAGAATTGTTTTCAGAATTAACTGTCAGATTGTTTCGCTGACTAGGAATTTCTGTCGACACTTTTTAAACTTTATGCTGATGATGCTGTTCAGGTGAATAATGAAAACTTCAAGGCCTAATTCTTCCACTTCAGAGAACACAACACTTGCACAATCCCCATCATGAGCTATAAATATTTTTCGTGTTATATTTTGAAAAAGTTTAAAAGTTTAGAAAAAGCGTCGCCCTCATAGAGTGCAAGAAATAGCCTTTTAGAGGAATATAATTTTCAGGTAATCATCATCATTTTTTATTTCATGTTGTCTCATAAATTATTCTACTGGTCCCTAGTCTAAGCAGTATTGTGATATTTGCTAGAATTTTCGTTATCTAATCGGCACAGTTAATAATTCCAGTTCATGGTATAATGCAGTATTGTACAATTAGTGATGCACAGAAGAGAGTTTTACAATTTTCTAGTAAATTAACTTCACCAGAATTATTAGATATTTCGTCAACTTCTGCTGTTTGTTTAAACTAACTTTATTCTTAAATAAAGAGCTGAACAAAGCTGACATATTGAGCAGTCGTGAATAGTAAAATAGAGTGTACATGGATGGATATTGTTAAGCAATATCAGAATAGTATACACCAAAAGCAGTTTTGGGTACTCGGTCAGCAATAATAATTGCTTGATTGATATCAACAACTTCAGTCAGTCCTACTGAAGATGTTTCTTTTTGTAAACACCAAGGCATGTAAATGTATAACTTTATGACACTGCTTATTAAATCACGTCAATCACTGTAAAAGCAGTATTTTTTCCATATAATTTGACGGCTAAGCAGAGGACACATAAAATGTACGGTACAACTTTTGATTTTATTCAGTAGTTTGAAAAACGATTCATTACTGGGTAATATTTATAAGTGAGACCTAATAAAGATACACTAAAGTATTATATGAAGTATTGGATTAAATGGAATGGGTTCAACTGATTGGTCAATATATATTGATTACATTATATTGCCGTTTTTTTTACATAGAGTTATACTCTATCGTCGATACACTTTATTTGACATAATCTTGTACGAACTTTGTTGTAGATACCTGTCGATGTCAGAAATTGTTACAATTTTTCAAAGACTTTTTATTCAAAATGTTCTATTTAACTATATTTCTTTTCGTGTTATTGATATTTTCTGTTTAAAATTATTGACTTGAGTATATGTAGGCTCATTGACAGGAAATGAATTTTTAATAAAAGAATATTTTTTTAATGAAAAATATAATTCATTTCCTTCCTGTCAATTCATTTACTTTACAAACACATACATATTCACTAACTAACTAAATCAGTTACCTATGGACTCAATGATTTCCTAACTCATCTATTCATTTTTACTAAAATAACCTAATGCATATTTAATGGATTATAAATTATTGTACTTAAAGGTGTGTATATGTGTGTGTGTTTATACTACTCATCATAAGTAGATATACTTGACTTTAATGCAGCTGCTGCCTGTCTAATTCATTCAATTTCTTTTCTATAGATTCTAGCCATAAATAAATTTATTTTAATGTAAATCAATAAACTATAATTATTAATAATTATAATAATAATCACAAATATATAACTAATAATTCATTGAATTTTATAACCAAATATTGACTTTAGAAGCAAAAATGGATAGTGGCTAGCAATGGAATCCAGGACGCGCGTTTCGTTCTATTTGGGACTGGTCAGCTAGATGTACCTGCATCTCACAGTTGATGTTCACTCTGGGACTCGAACCCTTATAATGCTTGTGAATTAAGGCTATACAGTAGCAATAAGCACAGTATACACATATGGCCAATAAGAGAGTGACCAGTTGCAGTCCTAAGCATTAATGGGAAGATTCAAACAAACAGTACTAAGTGAATTTAAATATTGACGTTTATTTTTCAGTTCTGAGTGAATGATTCTAGTTACTAACACGTAACACACTTATACACGTAAACATATGAAAATAAGCTCAAAGAAAAACATGTTTTATTGCAGGAAAGATCAATATATTTTAATGTGAGTTATGCTTTGTTTTCCCTTGTTAACTAATCAGTTAAAGGGATTCGAAATTTAATTTTCTGGAGAGAAAAGAAAATCCTAGTCAATTAACTTTTTTAACGAAACAATAACAGAAAAATAAACATGTTAATCTTTCTGTTGAAGTATTATTCTCTGATCAAACAGTTTACTACATGTTGACTTGAAAAGCTGATCTATTTAATTCATAGACTAATGGGCAGTGGGTTATATCAATGAATTATCGAAATCCTAGTCCGTTACTATCACATCAGTAGAATTCAAATTTCAACATACAGTTAACTTAGTATCCTTTTGAATTTGCTTCAAAAACTTCTATGATTTTAATTGAATCGTGCAATTTTAACACATTTCGTAATACTGGTAGCAACAACTGTGATTTTATGACCCCATTAGTATCATTCTATCATAGGCATGCTTTAATTTTTTTTCTGTTAAATCTCCTTTCTTGTTGAAATGAATCTGGTCATTAAAACCTAAATAGTTTTTCAACGGTCACTTCGTAAACATATTGCCTCAACTAGAGTTTAGTATTATCAGTATTTAGGCGTTAGATTCTAACTTTTTGCATTTGTCACACTCTGCTCAACATTTGCTATTTCCTCCTAGTTTTCAGCTAATTAACTGATGATAAATTCATTTGTCATTAGGCTGAAATATTGGTTGATTAAAAAAGTTATAAATTTCACTAGATGAATGATTCGCCTATATAAACCCATAACTTTTAATTCATCCGTGACAGAAAATGACGGGAAATACAAATCGCAATATTGTGATCCTATTGTATCTCCTTGAAAAGTGAAGGCTTCAGGTTTGATACTGAATTGAATGACTATTAGCATTAGTATAAAATCGAGATTAATTACATTTTGCAACGCCTAAGTCTATGATTATTAAATGGAAGTCGCCTGAATAGGATTGCCCAAATTTTAAGTTTTGTAGTGTTTGTCCATTTGTGAACAAACATATTAGGCTTTTTTATGCTATTATTAATAACCTTCAGTGCCTAAAAATTCAGTTTATAATTACACGACCTAACTTTCTCTACATAACTCAAAAATTATAAACTAGAAGAATTATGTCAAGTTACAAGTGATTGAATAATTAGATATCCTTTTCCTCAATATGTCAACTAATGACTTGGATCAGTACAAAATGGTAGTTTGTATGCGGATCTATAAAAGATAGTAACTTCATTTATTATATATCCTGTTAATCATGATTGCTTAGCTGTTTACGTTATATATTTATGTGACTTGAATTTTGGATTACTTTCAATAAGCTATAAAGTTTTAATGTTTGTTTGACGTTAAATAAACGTTGTACACCATAATTCATCGTCGAAGCTATACAATTGTAAAAAGATGTCATTAGATAATAAACTTCTTATGTAGAATGTATAACAGAACAATGTAAAATTATACAAATACTAATAAATTGACTAGAATAAAAATGTTTCCAATTTCTAGGGATTGAATTATAGTGATACTTTATCTACTATTTTTTATAAAAGGAGTGTTTTTTGTAAGATTGAAGAAAGTAAAAATCTTTACTTTTGCTGGGGCTATGAAAAAAATATTGTAATAACGACTTCTAACTTATCCTATTGTGGGACTCCTGAGCAGTGCGCATCCACGATCCCGCCTCGCGAGATTCGAACCCAGGAACTAACAGTCTCGCGCCCGAGCACTTAACCGATAGACCACT